TCAGGAAACTGTCCCCGGTGCGGTGCCCCAAGTTGTGAATCACCTTGTTCAGGAAACTGTCCTCGGTGCGGTGCCGCAAGTTGTGTATCACCTTGTTCAGGAAACTGTCCTCGGTGCGGTGCCCCAAGTTGTGAATCACCTTGTTCAGGAAACTGTCCCCGGTGCGGTGCCCCAAGTTGTGAATCACCTTGTTCAGGAAACTGTCCTCGGTGCGGTGCCGCAAGTTGTGTATCACCTTGTTCAGGAAACTGTCCTCGGTGCGGTGCCCCAAGTTGTGAATCACCTTGTTCAGGAAACTGTCCCCGGTGCGGTGCCCCAAGTTGTGAATCACCTTGTTCAGGAAACTGTCCTCGGTGCGGTGCCCCAAGTTGTGAATCACCTTGTTCAGGAAACTGTCCTCGGTGCGGTGCCCCAAGTTGTGAATCACCTTGTTCAGGAAACTGTCCTCGGTGCGGTGCCCCAAGTTGTGAATCACCTTGTTCAGGAAACTGTCCCCGGTGCGGTGCCCCAAGTTGTGAATCACCTTGTTCAGGAAACTGTCCTCGGTGCGGTGCCCCAAGTTGTGTATCACCTTGTTCAGGAAACTGTCCCCGGTGCGGTGCCCCAAGTTGTGAATCACCTTGTTCAGGAAAAGAGTTGAGGAAAATTCCTTCAGTCCTGAGGAGATTCACGACCTGCAGCTTCAAGATCCCGATATCAGCCTAATATACAAAGCTAGAGATCAAAATACCCGACCTGAATGGGAAACTGTTTCAGGATATTCGGAGGCATGCAAAACGCTGTGGGGTCAGTTTCATCGACTGTCGATAAGGCAGGGTGTCTTACACAGAAGATGGGAGAGTCAGGATGGAAAGGATTGGCATTGGCAGATAGTTGTACCATCCATCAAGCGGCGAATTATCCTCAAAGCGTGTCATGACTCACATTTGGGAGGTCATCTTGGGGTTTCAAAGACTTTTGCCAAGCTTGAACAGGGTCTTACTTCTGGATTGGTATGAAAACTGATGTACGTCGGCACTGCATCATTTGTGACAAGTGTGTTGCCAGGAAGAGTCCTAGAAAACAGAAAGCACCCATGAAAGAGTATACAACAGGCTCACCCATGGAGAGACTCACAACCGACATCATGGGCCCACTGGACCGTACCTCCAGTGGCAACAAGTACATACTTGTTGTCACTGATTCGTTCACTAAGTGGACTAAGGCCTATGCGATTTCAAATATCGAGGCAAAAACAGTGGCAAAGAAGATTGTCGAGGAGTCGGTCTGTCGCTATGGTACCCCAGCTCTTATACATAGTGATCAAGGTAGACAGTATGAGGCTAACCTGTTCCAGGAACTATGTAAATTGCTGGGAGTTGATAAAACTAGGACAACTTCTCTCCGACCACAGGCCAATGGCCAGGTCGAGCGGTTGAACCGAACATTAGCAGCCATGCTTAGCATTTATACTGAAGGGAGACCAAGGTCCTGGGACAAACATCTCCCCTTTGTAATGGCTGCTTATCAAGCTCAAAGCATGAGTCGACAGGTTATACACCAAACAGGTTGGTGCTCGGTAGGCAAGTGCGAATGCCTTACCACCTGGTAACAGGAAATCCTAACGAGAATCCTGTGACGAGAGATGACTATGTCGACGAGGTCAAACATCATTTTGAACATGCTTTTGAGTCTGCTCGGAGACATCTCAGACATTCTTCCGAAGTGCGTAAGAAACGATATGACCTGGGAAGCAAGGAATCACGACTTAAAGCCGGACAGCCAATATGGTTGTTTAACCCCCACAAAGGCTCAAAACTGAGCTACAAATTCATTTTGTAGTGGTGTAAAAGGTTGGGCTATCACCAAGCAAATTGATGACATCACATATCATATTCAAAATGGTCCAAATAGATCCTCCAGGGTTGTTCATGTTGACCGGTTGTTACCGTACGAGGGTAATGACCCACCAACATGGTGGACTCCTGAGTATAAAGATTGCGTGAAAACCTCCCAGTCAGCCATCCTGAAACATTCAGAGATGAGAATTAGTTTGTGTAAAAATAAAACAATTCAAATGCAGTTACAATAGCCTATGCCAAGGTGTAAACATTGATGAGATATGGTATGTTCTGTTAATTGGTTCTTATTAATTATTTATCCTGGATGCTATCTGGATTTAAAATTTGGGCGTGTTGGACGCTTTCCTGTAGATATTCCAGAGAATGACCATTTAGAACGCATGAGACATAATGTCTTATTTTACCTAATGGTAGATGTTGGATCAACCGTTAGTATTAACGAGACTTATATGACATGCTATTGTTGTAATAACATAGGAAACGGATATCTCTGATTTACACCTATGCCAATTATATCGAAATGTAAACATGATTCATAATTAACTTAATAAATTCAAACTTATAAATTCTCTCAGGGCTACCAATGTTCCAGACAGGATATTCTTGACCTTGGTGATGAGGATATGAGCTTTGATCAAGATGCTCCGTCTCAGTCGCCAACATCCCTGGAAGTTGTTACTTTCAGGAGTGGAATGGAGTGCCCGACATGCCCCGACAAGATGTTTGTAAATGTACCTCAGGCTCAGGCACTGGTTTATGCGCCATACACAGCACCTGACTACATTCTTCTGCCCTGTAAGGGAGTGCCGTTCAGTTTACAACAGGTTCGCTGACCTGACCCGTCACTATGGGGTGGTGCACGCCGGACGTAAAGGGAATCCGGCCAACCCCATGCATGTCTGCAGAAGAGCTCGGACAAAGGTGATGGTGAATAGATACTTTGTCGACGCACTTTCGCCCCTTTCGGAAACACATTAAATGGCCTGGCCGGGCCCGTGTGCGAAATACGCATCATTGGTGACCTGATCCACTTGGAGTGAATGACTTGAACACAACGTGTATGCCAGTGCAACCGCAAATTTATTATAGAATGTATTTATGTATTTACCATTATATTTTGAGATATAAGTTATTGTTGTTTTTGTAGAAATTATAATGTACATCTATGAAATATTAAAGTATGAGAGTTATTAAATTTGTTAAATGTAAAGTACTTTTGTGCAACTATACTATACTTCAGCATCTAATAAATTACTACTGAAATTACTGTATACGCATTTCTGTGGTTTTCTTGTAATTTGAGAGTCCCGGTACAGCAATATCCCGTGTTTACTGTAGCGTGACCAGTCTTACTGTAGCTTCACGAAAGCGAAGAGATTTTAGATTTCATTATGGCTAGGTTTCGCTCTCCCGGCCCAGAACCAAATAACTTCTGTCACTGGTGGAGTGCAATTTCCCCACGTTCCACCGACCGTGTCCTCGTGCGAGAGACTACTTCCGGTATGACGTCACTTTGTTGACAGTTCGATCGGTTGTAGATTTTTCTGATACGAGAGTGCAAGCCGGTTCGAGCCGAGATATGTGAGTTGACGTTCAAGTTTTTTGGCCTACCTTTAGAATACAGTACCACAAACTTTTCAAACACGTGATCATACCCTATGACGTAATTTGTAGTATTTTGTTGCCAGTCACACCGGCGAAACAATGCCCTGTGACGTCAGGGGTCATCGAGTGTGCATAAGCTCCTCCCAGTGATCTATCATCTCTACACGAAATGTCATTGAATACGCCAAGCGCTGTGGAGAGTTTTGAATATTTGTTTACTGAATATAGGCTGCGGCGGCGCATTTTATAGGAAGCGCTAGTTTACGAAAGCACTTTTATTTTTTATTTCGTTTTTCTCGTAATTCAAGTGGCTAAAAGGGTTATAAATGGGAACTTATATACATATATTATTTTTTCGGTGCATTAATTGTCATTTTTATGCACAAGAATTTAGTTTATTAGGGATATTATATTGGCGCTGGACACATCCAAATATAGCTAGTGTTAGGGTAGGTTACACCGAACTCTATCCTTAGCCCTTGGATCCCCTTTACGATCAATCACCCCTTTACGATCATAAGGGTTGGGTACTCGTTTAGTGGCTATTAGATTACCCTAAGTCTATCCTTAACCCTTGGATCCCCTTTACGATCAATCACCACTTTACGATCATAAGGGTTAGGTACTCGTTTAGTGGCTATTATAGATTATATAGCGGCTCCTAATATTCTTCACACAAAAACGTCGAGTAAAAAGGATGAAATGGTTTTGTGTCGAATATTTTGGCTACCGGAAACTGTCCTGGAACATTCACACAAGCAACTTTCACCTGCTACATTTTTTCAGTACTGATTCAGAGCCAACTCACCGTTGTGTCGTCACTAGTCATGCTTATTCCTCCATCGTTTTCCTTACTTTTATCCACATCATCCTTTCAGTGTTCCCTACCACACTTTTCTGTCACAAAAATCTGTCACGATTTATAAAATACCATATCATTCATGCGCACTCGCGAGTTCGACGTCTGACGTCTGACGCCTTGAGCCGTTTTCATTTCACGGCATTTCGGCTCATTCCTATCCACCCGGTATCTTGTAGATTACGGAATGGGACGAGAGTGCCAAATGGCATCGGGATCATTCGTAAGTGTCCGTAGACTAAAGTCACGAGACACCATGCCTACCCGTAACCTTCGTAAGTGTCCGTCACCTATTCGACCCTTTTCGTTCAGTTCCGTAACGTCATAGGCATGACTAGGTAAATTTGCACTAAGTTTAACAGTATGGACGTAGCTCAGGCGGTTAGCTGTCAGGCTACCAATCCGAAGGTCGCGGGTTCGCGTCCGACGGATTCTCACTAAAACTGGTTGCTTGTCTTGAGACATGTGACCTACGGCAGAGATCGTCCTCACGAGAAGTTGTGGTACTGGGCCCCGATCCACAAAGCCTTCGTAGCGCTACGAACATCGTAAAACCCGTCGTAACTTTATGACAAAAATCTTAAGCGATCCACAAAGCTATCTTAGTGAAAATATCTCGTAAAGTTAAGAGAAAAATTATGAGTGGTCAGTACCTATCGTAAATCAAGCATTTCTGTCGTAACTTTAGTATCAAGATGGCGGCATATTTTTTGCTTGGCATATTAAAAGAAAAGGCAACACGATCACGACCAAGGGTGTTTCGAGACCGAAGTCGAGTACTTGACACGCTCGATGATGACAGCATAATCCGGCGCTACCGGCTACCACGTCATGCCATATTTAAACTTATAGACTTACTGAAACCATATCTTGCTTCCGAAACAGAGCGTTCCCATGCATTGTCCCCGGAAACACAGGTTTTGATTGCCCTCAGGTTTTATAGTAAGGGGTCTTTCTTCACTGAACTAGCAGACTTGCATGGGGTATCCCAGTCCACTGTGTCACGGGTGTTTACCCGTACAAATGAAGCCATTGTCAAACAACTAAAACTTATTTCGTTCCCAAAGGCAACATCCGACCAACGTGTCACGAAGGAAGCATTTTATAACATTAGCAGATTTCCAAAAGTGCTTGGTTGTATAGATGGCACCCTCATACCTATCATGCGACCCACCGGGGATGAAGAAGCGGTTTACGTTTGCAGGAAGGGCTTCCATGCCGTAAACGTACAAGCTGTCTGTGACGCAGAACTAAGGTACATCACACTTCACAGACGTTAACAACAACACCCAGCAACATCCTTATTTAACAATTGATAGGGTCAGTAAGAATCAATCATTCGTATACAGACGTAATAACAACATTATTCAGGGAAACATCGAAGGATACACACCTTGTTTACTCTCTTTAATGACCTTGACAATGACTAGTGGTGCCACCTACTCATTTTGTTGACCAATCATTACGTAAGGCCCAACATGGGTTTTGTCATGAGGTCCAATACAGGTTTCTATTACCGTGCGGAATTACCATTGTGATAAAGGACGATTGTTTTAGTACTTAAAGCAATGCTCACTGCTGAATAAATAAAGAATAAAGAAAACTGTAAACAGCCAGTTGGACTATCACACACACACACACACACACACACACAGGGACTTGAGAAAATAACTTTAATATCGATTTATGAATGCATGGCTGATGGAAGAATTATAAATATGTATATATAATCAAAAGGTTTACAAGTGTGGTTTCCAAGTGGCCTGGTTCAACTCATGATTCGTTCATGCTACAAAACAGCAAGATTGGGCAGTATATGGAGACTGCTGGGAATGACGGATGGCTGCTAGGCGATTCAGGGTAACAGCAAATCATTTGTGTAAACATAAGTTGTATTGTAACCACTACAGAGATATGAAAACACATAAACAAGAAGTTGATATTTTGTAACTTGGCACACAGAAGACGATACTGTAATCATAATGTGATTTTCAGATTCCAATGTTTATTTCATATTAGTCACTTTAAAATATATTGATCATAAATTGAAAGCAGCGCCCATAAAATCTAGCTCTGCGTGAAAGTGATTTCCCCTTGTACTTAATCCCAAATTTCACAATGTAAACTGACACCAATAAAATTGTCACGAAATGAAATAACATTTGAAGTGAAATATATAAGCTGGTATTTTAAGTTGTATTTCAATATTTAATGGTATGGTCAGTATGTTTAACAGATTTACAATTTTTCCATCAGATATGCATGTCGCCCATGGCTGCTTACGCCAATAGTTAACCCTACAACACCGTCTGAGGAATGTTACAACACTGCACACTGCAGAACACGCAACACTGTGGAGAGGGCCTTTGGACTCCTTAAATCCAGGTTCAGGCATGTATATGTTCATCCCTTATTCTACACAAGCATATAATATCATTTTTCAATATTTGAGACATTAGTATGGCATATGTTTGTGCTAATGACAGATTAAGATGTTATGCTTTAAGATAATACTCATACTTTAAAGTAAATCAGAGATATGGTCTTTTAAGAATATTTCAAGTTTTACACATCATAATGCGACTAGTCTATCTTATCTGCATTCTGAACAAAGGGTAATGTTTGTGTTTATATACATTATTAGGTGCCTACATAAATCAGGTGGCTGCCTGCCGTTCACCCCCCCAAAATGCCATCAAGTTGTGTATGCAACCTGTCAGCTGCATAACTTCTGCATCAGCCTAAGATTGCCAGCTCCTCCTACACAAGAAGACCTGATCCAAGAAGATGGGATAGCTTACCTGGGACCTCTCAATGACGGCCTCAAAGTCCGACAAGCTGTCGTCAATAACTGTTTCTCTAAATGATTGTATGATTAAGATAAACGACTTTTTGTAACCGATGATAAATGACAACAGAAGCTACATTATCAGTATGAATTTTTATATTTGGGAAAATTAATCAAAGTTTAAAGGAACTGAATAACTGGTGATACATTCAGTTGGCCAGAGTGGCCAGCTTCCAGAGAAATGATGTAGGCCAATTTCTGTTCTTCCACATGTAATCTCTTTTTTTCGAGGGGCGGTCGGGTAGCCTAGTGGTTAAAGCGTTCGCTCGTCACGCCGAAGACCCGGGTTCGATTCCCGACATGGGTAAAATGTGTGAAGCCCATTTCTGGTGTCCCCCGCCGTGATATTGCTGGAATATTGCTAAAAGCGGCGTAAAACCATACTCACTCACTCACTCACTCTTTTTTTCGACCTCAAGAAGCTCTTTCAGCACATTCAGTTTCTCCCTCTCTATGTTCAGAATGTTATCTTTGTCTGAAAGAAATTTTCATTTTACATAACACAAGTCTCACAGCAACAGTTATGTCTCCTCCATCTGTATACAAACTTTATCAAAACAAAAATCAGGGTTTCTTGAGTAAATTACATTTTTTCTCTTTCTATCATTTCAAATTTGATGTATTGCTGTACATACCACTGAGAGTCTTTGTGGCCTTAACATGTGAAACTGCATCAACTGTATTAAAGAAACAAATCATTTAACTGAGACATGTGAATGTTTTATTTAAAACATATCCACAGGAATATTAAGTAAACACCTCTCTCCCTATAATACATAATACATAAACACATACAGAGATTGGAGATACAATTAAAATCCATGAACTGTATTTCTAAGAACTGTGATGTTGTTTACATGATTTCATCTTATCTTGTGGTAGGTATACCTGCAATAAACTTTCACAGTTGCAAATCTCTCCCCACCCAGAACCTTGAAAGTTTTATTAAATTTATTGTGCAGTATTTCCATTATGTATATGGTAATACCTTGAGGAACATCATCTGCCGACATCACACTCTCTGAGTACATGATGTATGTTGGTGGCACAAAGGCCCCATCACAAGGCAAGTCCTGCAGGGCTTGAAGAGTCTCTGCAAAAACTGGAGTTGCTGGGGTAGTGTCTGTAAGTAATATGATACATGTAGTTCCAATTTACCAATTTCTCTGCAATGAAAAGAGGCAAAATCTACAAAAAGTATGGTTATTCATGGAACTATTAATCCAATTTCAAAATCAACTTTAAGTTTATACTTCATCTTTTATCTTACATGATCACAATTACCTTTACTGTATGAGATAATCTATAATATATCTGACATATGGTCATTAACATAAACTATGATACCGGTTAAGTAAACAACTGCACATACAGCCATTCACACAACCAATTACGCAACTTACTTTCATATTCTTCACTTTCAAGGCCACCCTCACAGCCTTGAATCGAGCAGGGAGGTATGAATGATACAACCTGAAATCAATATTTCTTTCAATGCATGTTACAATGTTAATGTTCTCTGTAATAAGGAATGAAGTACTTTACCTAATAACTTATTGGTCAAAAGATTACCTGTTTGTTATAATCACAATCTATCTGCTCCTTTAAGAGCTTTTCATATAAATTGTAAAATTACAATTCAACAGCAACTTTATTCATTTGTACTTGTTGAGTACTCAATATGCCCACATATAAGAAAAAAAACACACCCAATGATATAGCATTTATGAAATTCAAGATTGAAAAAGAAACTGTAGGCTCACCCGCTGTTCCATTTCAGTGAGGTTGGATGGTGGAGGCCCCCCACCAGTTCTCGTTGCCTCCCTCCTTCTTTCAGCTTCTTTTTTCCTTGTTTGACTCCTGATGGAACAAAATGTATAAATGAGCAAACACACCTCGTATTATCTATAAAAAAGTACCAGTATAAACAATTTTAATTTATATTTAATAACAGCTAAATATGAATGTTTCACAGAACATGTACATGTATGTCAGGACAAGCACATGTTTTATACCATGCAATGAGTAATTGTTTACATAAAATAATGTTATGTTCTAAATTGTATACACATACTTGTAGTCCATCCACTTCTTTTTAACATCTTTGGTCAGTCTCTTGACACCACTGTTTGCACTGATGCTGAAACAAGATCAGTAAACTTTAATAAATTGTCAAGAATACAAGTAATAGAGTGAAGGGTTAGAACTCTAAAATCCCAGCAACATAATGTACCGAGAATGTCTCGTCTAAAATACGGAGAGAGTGGTGTCCCTTTCTAAGTGACAAAATGGCTGCTCGTGACACTGCAGCGCTAGTTCCAGCTTATGTATATCCTTTGCATCAAGTTATTACCAAAGACGGGTTGATGAAGTAACACCCTGTTGACAGGTTGGTGAGATAGCCTACAGATATTTACCGCCAGAATGCTTTCCTCGCCCTGCAATATTCAACATAAAACATCGATGTATTACGTGATCATTTTTTACATATTTGTACTCCAGTTTATACCAGACATATGACCCCCCCTCTTCCACACACACACACACACACACACACACACACACACACACAATTTCATTGAATCACTCACCTCTGTGAAATGTCCTCCCATGCTTTCTTCTTCATTCTGTTCGTCAAATTGTTGGTAAATGACGAAAACAACACGTTTTTCTTCGACTGTACACCCTCTATTAGAAGGGCTAACTCACTGTTAGTCCAGTTCTTGCTCCTTTGGCGTTTCAATGTCAATGGTTGACTAGCATCCATGATCGCTTGATAATACGACTGGCGTCGTCTGCTAATACAGTGAAGGGATTCCCCTGTAAATTAATGACGTCATTGGGGAATCCCCCTATATTCTTACCTCCATCACAGGAGAGCGACAATCTTAATTTACGACAATGATCGTAAGACGATGAATTTACGAACGGATTAAGAACGCTTTGTGGATCGGTCGTAAATATTAGTAAAATTATCTTAATTTCAATCGTAAACTCTTACGATATGTGTAAGTTACGAAGGCTTTGTGGATCGGGGCCCTGTATTCTAAAGGTGCTCCCTGGCAACGTCGTCTCATAAGCATCAGGATGGTTGCCAAGGGAAGATTGTTCCACTCTTCAGTGAGAGTATTGCCGAGTTCCTGTAAAGTTTGCGGAAGGACGGCGTCGTGAGAGGGCGATTTGCAGCCCATTCCACAGTGTTCGATAGGGTTGAGGGCTGGTGACCCGGCTGATCACGCCGTTGGTATCCCGAAAGCTCCTCTATGCCGCACTCTGGCACGACGATCTAAAAGTATCTCAATTCATCAGTGGAGTACTGGAGCCAAGTCCTGGTCTGTCCAATTGACGTGGTGTTCAGCCCAATCCAAACGTGGCCGCCTGTGATGACGGGACAGTTGGATGCGAATGCATGCCTTCCGTGACCGAAGACCAGTAGCCTCACAGAGACGATTACGCACCGTCTCTAGATCTATTATCGGCAGCTTCGCTTATATATAAGCGCAAGCCGCTAAGAGGCATTTTTGAGCCATATATTAAGACCCAAAACATGAGCTGGACGTAAAAATTATGGTCTAAACCTCCGCCCCTATTGGGTTAGGTGGTTTTACGATAGAAATTCAAGCCGTATTCTCGTGGTGTCGACTTCGTTTTGTTTGTGGGCGGGACATAAATGACGTAAGACGTCACGTGTCTGATCATGTGATATTCCTTATATGGACTCGTTACTACGTAGTACTTTTCGCGGCTGGTAAGTCTTTCATTATTTGTCACATTGTATTAATTTTCAAGTATGTCTTACAGTAGGATTGTGTGTGATGAATTCTATGACTTTTGGACTGGTTAGAGGATGTAGGTGTCGCGGGTTCTGCCAACGATGTAATTGAGTGAACTGAGGCGATGAAAATGGGTTATAAAAGGATTTATTAACTGTAAAATGATATTATAAATGACATTAGTATGAATTGATGAGTCGAGGGAGAAAGATGGTCTTCGCTCGGTAATGGCGTGACAAAAAGTGGCATTTCAAAGTGTCCACGTCACACTCCAGGTATGTGCACGAGATACTGCTGGTAAGACAACCAGGAGTAAGAGTGAGAGATGAAGCGTCCGTTAAATGAAATAGAGATGACTTTTGGTTGGTTGTTTGTTTGTTGTTTAACGCCTCACTCAGCAATATTCCAGCTTTATGACGGCGGTCTGTAAGTAATCGAGTCTGGACCAGTCAATCCAGTGATTGACAACATGAGAATCGATCCACGCAATGACAGGCATCAACCAAGTCAGCGAGCCCGTTAGTCGCATGGGTTCCTGAAGACCTATTCTACCCCGGATCTTTACTGGTGGCACATCATCTTAAACGGTTAAACTATGAAACATCAAGTGACAAGTGACAAGTCTATTTGCATTTGAGGCCACATGGCCCATAGTGCTGCACATAAAAAAGACATACTAGTATGTAAAACATCGTAAAGATTGTTAACTCGATACTTCCTGCATACAAACCAGTGCAATGAATTAACAGTGTTTAATCATTTGTTTCACACGATACGGGGGACAAATTGCCTCAAGTTTAACTGAAATGAACGTTCGCTGCAGATGCTGGATATCCTTACATGTGATGGAAATAAAACTGCTTCGCCTCAGAAGACAGGGCCACTCGCACCCAAACTGCAGCCTTGATACGTTACTGTGTGCATGCGTCTTGCGCCATCAGACGGTGCACATCGACTGAGGCCACCTGCATCCATCCATGCAGCTCCAGAATATCACAATATATGCACTGAACATCCAACCATTTTTCATCACAAGAATGTTGGTTGCTTTGATACAAGAACTCGGCAAGTTACTGCAATAAGACTTACATGTACCTTCGTTCTAACACACACCCTTCACCCCTAGAATATAATGCGGCTTTAGACAACCCGCATTATATTCTAGGGGTGAAGGGAGTGTGTTATTCATCGAGGTCAACAGGCGAGTTCAAGCTGTTCTACCCTGTTAACTTGTATCTGTTTGATTGTTGTTTAACGCCGCACTCAGCAATATTCCAGCTATATGACGGCGGTACTTGTATCTAGATTTATGAGTTGGATACCAAGTCGAAAGTCTCATATAGATAAACACACTGTGAAGTAAAAAATATACCCCTCGGATGTTGGTGGGAACCCCGTTATAGCCACCCCACAGGTGTGACCTACATATCTATTAATATTATTTGGATTGGACTCGTCCAACTTTTCGCGCAGTCAGTACAGTTGAAACTCCAGCGCACAGACATTCAAATTCAAACAGGTCGGAACTACACGTGGATGTATCATGGACTTTTACAGAATGGTTGAGGCTGCAGATCGATGGTTATTGATGATCAGAGGTACGTGTGTGAATTATCATGTTGTCCAAACAAACAGGATTAGGCTTATTTCAAATGGCTTCATGCAGTTTTAGTGAAAAAAACACTAGGCGGGAAATTGACTACTACCTGATTCATTCATAAGTTAGGAACAATTAGCTGACGCAATGAGAAAACGGAAAGAGTCGTATGCTGAATTGGTTGAAATCATATGAATAAATCTCATTTTCTTAAGCGGTTGGTTGGTTGATTTGTTGTTTTACGCCGCACTCAGCAATATTCCAGCTATATAACGGCGGTCTGTAAATAATCGAGTCTGGACCAGACAATCCAGTGATTGAATTGAATCATGAGCATCGATCCACGCAATTGGGATCGATGACATGCTTCAACCAAGTCAACAAGCCTGACCACCCGTTTAAGTTAGTCGCCTCTTTGGCGGCAAATGTCAAAACACGATACCTTGTAATATGGGTATCGTATGACATCAAGCGATGGAGGTATTTAACCTGAATTAACATATATTCATAATTTGTTGTTTGTTGTTTAACGCCGCACTCAGCAATATTCCAGTTTTATGACGACAGTCTGTAAATAATCGAGTCTTGACCAGACAATCATGTGACTGACACCATGAGCATCGATCCACGCAATTGGGATCGATGGCATGCATCAACCAAGTCAGCGAGCCTGACCAACCGATCCGGTTAGTCGCGTCTTACGACAAGCATAGTCACCTTTTACAGCAAGCATGTGTTGCTGAAGACCTATTCTACCCCGGATCTTCACGGGTCATATGTATACATAAAGATTACACATTCAGTTGAAAAGTTTGCGCATGTCAGTGTTAAAACGAATCTGATTATCAGATTTGAGCTGTAAAGATAAAACTGTTTTATGAGTATTCTATTACATAGCCAGGCAGTGTATCCACAGCTTCATCAATGGCTATGTACATTCAAAACAAAGGGAGGAATTATGTTCATTTTTGAAGGTAAGTCTTTTTTGTTTGTCACTGTTGTTCTTAGAGAGAAAATACGATATTTGGGGGAACATAACGAACATGTATACAATGTGCAAACGTGCGAAATATGTTTTTTTTCTGTTAAAAAAACCATCAAAACATTTGACTCACATGTTTAAGTGTCATGTCTGATAGTTTGGGGGTAAATAAAGCAGGTGAGGTGAAATGGGGTTTAAAGTCGCGTCCAAGATAATTGCACTTATATAGCGACGTGCATGCAGGTGTGTGTGTGTGTGTGTGTGTGTGTGTGTGTGTGCTTGTGCCAGTGCGGACTGATGCCGATTTAAAGTGCTAGCCCGCTGAGATACCATGCCACAGTTTAACATGAATACTCGACTCAGATACAGTATACACAGTACTCCGAGCCGACCAGTCCTTGTTTTAGCCTCTTGATGTCGAGCGCCAGGGTAACAAGTGCCATGGTTTAACGGGTTTGTTTTGGTATGACGCGGCCGGAGATCGAACCTCGGACCTCTCGCTCTCCGGGCGGACGCTCTTCCACAAGACCACGGATACATTCAAATGCACAATCAACTGTGATGATATATGAATTTATTGATAACTAAACATTAATAATACTTATGCAAATATGGTCTACTAATACTAATACTATCATAATAAGACATATACTAGTATCTAATCACAACTTTGTACCCAACTAACGACTGTCCAAGACAAATCTGAGCAGATTGTTGTCGCCTGAGGTAATTGAAATAGTCCCGCCTGAAATTCACGTTATCTTTTTTACTACTATAATTTCTTTTAAAAGAATGAACGCATCTACACATTTCAAAATAAAATGTGTAAATAACACAATTTTGCCAGCAGAATTTGAATTTGAAATTTGTTTTAATTTTAAAATTTCATAAGAAAGTCATGGATTCCTCTTCAGCGCATGCACTTAACACCAACACACAGTAGATCGCCTGTAAAATAGAGGAGTTTTAAGTTTTGTGCTTTTACGAAAATCTGAACAAAGCTACTTTTGCCATTGAGTATAAGAACACATGATGTCACTGAAGATGAGTTCACCCCTCCAACGTTTCTGTCTGAAGTAAGCGAATCCCCCCTTGATAAAATGGAAAGTACGTCTCGGGACCCAATCTAAGTGATAGGGAGTAGATGGTACAAATAAGTCATACATCGAGACAGATTTCACTATGCATAAAATCCTATTTTTGCGATTTTCCATTCTCTCTTTTATTAAGAGGGAACGACCTTAATTAGAATGAATATGATTATGAATTGCCCAACTCATTTCGTTCCAATATATATAACAATAGTAATCAATAAGCATGTGTCTACATTTATTATTTTGAGTGATATATAAAATATGCCGTGTACCACAGTGGATGTTTTTAAAAAAAATAAAAAATGGTTTCATTGCGAGACAGATGCTCTCAAATAGACATATGATAGTTAATCTAGACTCAGATTAGAAGCCTCTGATTGGTTGTCCTGGGTGACGTCGGTTCGAGTCCGACCAGAGGGTGTATGACGAGTCTAGAATTTAATTATTTAATTACTGCAATAAGTTTACACGGTTCAATTAACATTGCATCCTCAAATATAATAACTACCTGCATATGGATTGAATTGAAGCTACGACTCTTAGTAAAAATGTGAATCCAAAATGTATGATGGGATACTGCAATACACTGAGGAAACATTTTTGTATCATAACAAAGAAGTTTACATACATAGGTTCTCTTCCCTGACAAAATACATGGAGAAAACTCAGCTTCCCTGTCAATTTATATGTTATATGTGACCTGACCAAGTAGATATTTTTATTTTTGGCGTTGCGGTTGGGAAAACGATATAGTTATGTCTTTAAGGTACGTAGGTCCATAAGGGACATGGAGTATGGTTTTCAATGATTACGTTAACAGTAGAGAGAGAGAGTTTTAGAGATTTTACGATCGCTTCAGCCATCGGCTATTTCGCAGTCCGTATACGGTATCACGATAACAGTAAGTGAAATATCAAAATATTGAAAAACATACTCCATGTCCCTTATGGGCCACCGTACTTTTCAGCGATACCCATAAGTTCTCTTCCCTAACGATATAGTTCATTTCCACCATGACCAAAACATTATCTTGAGTTGCACCCGACTCGCCTAAAACAATCTGACCCGACTCGCCTAAAAAATATTAATATTTTGGTATGCGTTTGGCAAATATAACTTAGGTTAGGCCTAATGATCACAATTACTAGTATATTCATACACAAGTATGTAAATAATATTAGAAAAACAACGTATCATCCATAGAATTTGTCTTCTGTCATATTTACATCTGCACTTCATGTTGAGTCAGTGAGTCAGGGCCCAGTCGGTTACGCTATTGGGACCGAGGCTACAACACTAACATTTAGGTACATTATGTGTATAAAATGCATTACTATATATTTCTGATAGTTACATACTTATTCTAAAATACAAAAATCGACCGTAGTTCGCTCAAAATCTTTTTAGGCGAGTCGGGTCAAAATCGGGTCCAAATAGAAGTTGGAATACTAAGTAAGCATAAGATATATGGATGAACAACTTCTTTATCACAATTAGGAGAGCGGTTTTATCATCTTGTTGTCACTTGTCTAAAAATATAGCAAGAGTGTGAAGTTGCATTTGATTGGTTAATAAACAGGTAATGTAAAAGTGTAGCGCCAGCGCCGCATACCCAGGGAACCAGGCTGAGTAGCGATTGGCAGTAAAGCGGGCAGTATGATCTGCGAGTTCCAAAGACAGGTATGTCAGCTTCAACTTACGAGGGGTGTTAAAGATTTCCCCTAAACCACTTAGGGTTATCATATTTGGTTGAAATTTCACATGTGTAATGATACATGTATCTATGGTTTATGTCTGAATTTGCGGCACCGAACTATTAATCTTACCACTTTTACAGGTGTTATGATCGAGTAGGGTGTGACAATGGAGCCAGTAGAATACCGAGCAGGTTTTTATATTTGAAAGGTCGCACACCAAAAGAAACTTTCGATGAAATGAAAGCAACTTATGGGGAAGATGCCCCATCATATGACGTTGTTAAACACTGGCATCGCCAGTTCAAGTGTGGTCGCAGTTCAAGTGTGGTCGGACATCTGTGGAAACAGCTGCCATTCCTGGTCGCCCCCATTCAGCCATTGATGAGGACACTATCTATCAAGTGGAGACCGCCAGTTTGGCAGACCGACGTATAACTGTTCGCCAGTTAGCACAAGATGTCAAGATCAGTGTAGTGGAAAAAATCATCCATGACAATTTGAACATGCATAATGTGTCTGCACGATGGATTCCCAGGTTGCTCACACCTTTCCAAAAGCAGGAACGAGTCAGTTGCTCAAAGGATCTTTTGGACATGTGCAAAAAAGACCAGGCAAACTTTTTTGACAGACTTATCACACAGGATGAAACATGGGTCCATCACTATGATCCTATGACTAAAGTTCAGTCGATGCAATGGAAGCATGTGGAGTCACCACCCCCAAAGAAGGCACGTGTCCAACCCTCTGCTGCCAAGGTCATGCTCACGGTGTTTTTGGACCAGCACGGAGTAGTGATGATGGATTTCTCGGCAAAGGGTACCACAATTACAGGAGCTTATTATGCTTCACTGCTGCGGAAAGAGGCGTGGCATGCTGACCAAGGGTGTCCGTCTCCTGCAAGACAATGCTCCAGTACACAACTCTCATGTTGCCCAGACAGAAGCGCGGTCCTGTGGCTATGAAATCCTTCCACATCCTCCTTACTCTCCTGACCTTGCACCATCTGACTTCCACCTCTTTCCAACCATGAAGTCATTTTTGAAGGGAAAACGTTTCACAGATGATGAAACACTGATTTCTGAAGTCAAGTCCTGGTTTGAGACGCAAAATGAGGGCTTTTACAAGCGAGGTCTCCATAGTTGCATAAAACGATGGGAGAAGTGTGTAACTCTTGGTGGTTCCTATGTGGAGAAAGACTAATACCTATGCCAAGTTTCATTCCACTAGGTCCATCGGAAGTGGGTCAGGGGAAACCTTTATGAACACCCCTCGTCTGTGTCAATAGTTTGTGTAATCGTACTCACATTATTGTAGGTAGCACTCTTAGAATATTTGTCATGTTATATTCCTATAACAGTGTAAGGAATGTTACGGTAATACAGACTAAAGGCGTTATATTCCACCATTTACTTATGTGGTCTACCCTAGGTGCACACCTATAACAGTGTAAGGAATGTTACGGTAATACGGACTAAAGGCATTATATTCCACCATTTACTTATGTGGTCTACCCAAACTGCACACCTATAACAGTGTAAGGAATGTTACTGTAATACGGACTAAAGGCATTATATTCCACCATTTACTTATGTGGTCTACCCAAAGTGCACACCTATAACAGTGTAAGGAATGTTACGGTAATACGGACTAAAGGCATTATATTCCACCATTTACTTATGTGGTCTACCCAAACTGCACACCTGCTGAGAAAATCATGTTCCCATTTCCTAGGCGATATCGACAATGAAAGGTAATTTAATAACACAGGTTGATCTGATACATGTGTACGGTTTCCACATTTTATATATACAGTCGCTTCTTGATCCATTTATATGGGTCTCATTTGAAGTGCTGCGTTTTTAGTAATCACTGTGTAGATCTTATGATTATGTACTGTTACGAATACCTATAACATGATTTTTGTGGGTTTTTTATGCTTTGTTATCAGTCATGAGCCAAGAGTGCAGTGGACCAGCCCCACCCTACAGCCCGACCATCACGATGGGCACGTTCCAGGCTCAGCTGACGGCTCAGGCCCAAGCTGTGCCCCAGGGGAATCAGCACCAGCCAGCACCCGACGACTACCCCCATGCCCCCCTCACTGAAAGAGATGAAATACTTCCGTCCTGTGTTGAGAAACCCAACCTCACTTCAGCATTCAAGTCTGCCTATGTGTTTGGTTGACCATCCTTGAAGACCTGGATGAAATATGTGTGATGAGGTCCAGATTGAGTGACCGCCCCTTAGGGTTCTTAGTTACCTTTTAGACGGTAACTAAATAACCACTGGGGCCTCTACTGTGTATAGAACATGTTCTTAAAGTGAAAACATTGCCCCTTCAGATGATGGTCTTATTACTAAAACTTAAAAACCCAAAGTTAAAGAACATTAAAGTTAAGTCTCCAAAGTTGACTCAAACTCAGCTTCATCAGGCCATATCCATGACAACCCAGCCACAGCATCCAGATGGAGAAAGTCAAAGCCCTCACCAGGAACCGCAAAGACTTCAAAATCAGGAAACTACACAAAGCCATCAACATCAAGACTCCAACCACCAATCAACTGTGATCAAGGCCATTACATACCCCCTGCTTACCATCAACTCATCAAAGACCCCAATCAGCCATAATCCTTTTGTTTATACTACTGGCTTCACCAGTTGAGATGTGTATCTTATATCACTCTTTTTGTGTACATAACAGGCTTCTCCACTCCAGTGTAAACACATCTTGATGTTGTTCCACTGGATGTTGTGGTCGGGGTGGGTTTGGGTGTCGTCGGAGATGGCTGATTTTGAGTCATATTTGTGTACTGAGGTCTTGTGTTCATTTATTCTAATGGGTAGGGGCCTGGATGTTGAACAGTGGAACATCAAGATCCTGGCCAACAATCAGCCAGACTACAAAATCAGAAAACTCCTAGAAGCCATCTACATCAAAAGTATCCAGCTAGCAATGAACAGAGATGTCCATTAGACAATTCACTGGCTCCCAATCATCCCAATCAGCTTCCGTGGTTGCTTACCCTGTCCCATTAGTCATCCACTGGCGCCCAATCATCTTAATCAGCTCTCTGTGTCCATTAATCAATTTACTGTATAAACATTGTTGTTAATAAGTATATATATCTATGTTGTTCAGCACTATCCATCACTTGCTTGATAAAGGTGTTAGGATCTACACTGAATTGTGATAAAGAAGTTGTTCATCCATAGAACTTGTCTTTCTCAACTTTTAACAGTGTTCCAGTCATAACACGGCGTGTCAGCTTAATGTGGGAGGAAAGCCCCAAGTGATGCAGGTCTTAGATGTTTACCACTTCGGTGAAACCCACGAGCAGGTATGGTGCTGACAAACCTAGAACCATAATCGGGGTGAACCAGGATTCGAACCCACAACAATAGGTTTATGGCGTGCCCAAGGGATGCAACTCAGCACAGCGAATCGCGGCGCCTTAGACGACTGTGCAACCCGTGCCCTTTCTTATCCAATGAGATACTGTGCCACAGTTTAACATAGATCTCCACTGAGACACAGCATAATGACAACAAGCCGTCCCATCCCTGTTTATATTTACACAAACATACAACAACATCATCACTGTATGCTAGGCTTTGCTAGCTCAGTTTTATTTACACTTACTAAACATGCTCTTAGCAATGATATCTGCACTCCAATAGCTTGTAAAATGTTTATTTTGATTAGTATGGATCATTGTTCATGCTTTCAGTCACTGGTTTGTGTGGTCCAGACTTGGTTATTTACAGGCCATCCTGATGTAGATGTGTATTGCTGGCTCTGGCACTGAACAACATTCACTCGCTCACTCTACACAGGACACGGTTCTGACTTTCTGACAGTGTCTAGATGAAGGTGGAGACTTCTAGTATACATCTCTATGTGGGAATTTCCGAGCTATAACAGATGATATCTTCCTCTTGATATTGGCATTGACATTGTGCAGGGCCTGGTGCTTCCTGGCGGCAGTCTGCAACAAGAGATGAAGACATAGAGGATATTTCATGAGTTTCATGTTTCCCTCATCAAGTGATGAGGGGGAAAGGAGATATTTTCTTGTGAAAATATCTCCTTTCCCAACCACAAGATGAAACAAACATGATATTTCACGAGATATATGAAATATCCTATTTATTATATATTTTTTGTGTAGGTGTCTTTCAGGAAAATTAAAGTATTTCATTACAAATGTAAAATCTTGAAATGTTGAATCTCCCCAGCCAACACACAGGGACAGTTCATCACCCCTTGTATTTTCGACTTAAAAGTAGTTCCATGTTTGCACAATCTTAAACAGTATAGACAAAATTATTTAGTATTTAGGTAAGTAGGGTCATGATGCATGAAATATAATAATGTGGCAAGGAATGATATCCAGTTATATATGACTGTTTAATAATCTCATACCAACTTTGACTGGAGTAGGTCCGATAGTTTTTCAGATATGGTAGTAAACGTCAGTACCTAAATTAACTTCCAGACTATAGCTGAGAACCTTTTTGTTGACAATTGATGAAATGAGTGTGTATACTGTATATTGAGAATAGATCTTCTGTGACAGAAGTGAATTCTTGTACATGTTACTGTAAATTATATCCTGCACTTCCAACAGTTAGTGAGTGAGTGAGTGAGTTTGGTTTAACACCGCTTTTAACAGTATTCCAGTTATCTCAGCGTGTCAGCTTAATGTGGGAGGAAAGCCCGAAGTGATGCAGGTCTCAGACGTTTACCACCTCGGTGAAACCCACAAGTATTGTCCTGACAAACCTAGAAACATAATGGGGGATTCGAACCCACAATCTTAGGTTTCTGGCGTGCCCAAGGGACGCAACTCTGCACAGTGCATCGCGGCACCTTAGACGACTGGGCCACCCGTGCCCCCTCACTTCCAATAGGTTAATCGTTTATCTATACCAACTAAACCAGCAGACTCAAAAATCTTTTTGTGAAATGCACTAATAAATACCGAGCTAAAAAAGTCATATTAAGGCTAGCCAAGCTAATAGGTAAGCAAAAAAATAAAATAAAATAAAGCCATGAAAGTATTGTGGCCTTATATTAATACAAGGCAAGTAATACCTCAATCTGCCACAGGAGGTCGACCTCCCACTTCTTGGTGATGAAGGTCGTGACTTGTCCCGGAGTGTGTGACCCCACCCGACCCACTCTCCCAGCACGGTGAATGTAGTCCGACACAAACGGGGGGAAGTCAAAGTTGATCACGTGATGCACCTGTAGATGAGGTGAAGTTATTTACTTCATAGGTATCTCCGTATTTCTTTACAAACAGATCATAAGTGTAAACTTTGTTCTCATCAGGTATGTTCTGTAATACTACCAACCCGGTTCTGGGAAACACAGGGACATACAACAAGCATGACATACAGTGTACTCATATGCCCATTGTGTCCAAGGCAAGAAATATTGTACGGTTTTCAAGAGCTACTCCGGAAACAAGCACTACCACTATTTTCAATCTCAGTCAAAGTCATTGCTATTGAAACTCAAAAAAATTTCTTTTTTAAATTCCAAAGTATCAACCAGTTTGCCACTAGACTTATCTATGTTTTAAGTTTGGTGAAGAAATATTGTTCACTTTTCAAGATCTTTACGGAGCACTACTGCCAGTCAAAGTCGTTGCTTTGGAAACTCAAAAATTCTTAAAAAATTCTTAAAAAATTCTTTAAAAATTCCAAACTATCAAAAGGCACCTGATCACCACTAGACCTATCCATGTGCCAAGTTTCATTAAGATATCTCTCACAGTTTTAGAGTTCTGCTCCGTAAACGAAATGTGACGGATGAACCCAGTGTATTACATCACCACTCTGGGGCGGTCGGGTAGCCTAGTGGTTAAAGCGTTTGCTCGACACCCCGAAGACCCGGGTTCGATTCCCGACATGGGTACAATGTGTGAAGCCCATTTCTGGTGTCCCCCGCCGTGATATTGCTGGAATATTGCTAAAAGCGGCGTAAAACCATACTCACTTACTCATCTCCACTGCCAAAATCAGTCCTCTTAACAGTTGAGGTGAGATGAGATGGGGTTCAACATCACATTCACGATTATTACACTTATTTAGCAACATGCATGGACATGAGTCTGTGGCTGCTTGAACTAGTCCAGACTAATGCCTGTGTCATGGTGCCAGCCCACAGATATACCATGCTGCAGTTTCACATGGACACACCATTCAGACACAGAATACTGACTCTGAGTCGACCAGTCCTCGTTATGTCCTCTTAGTGCCGAGCGCCTGGCAGGGTAACATTTGTTTGTTTTGTTTGTTTGTTTAACGCCGCACTCAGCAATAATCAAGCTATATGACGGTGGTCTGTAAATAATCGAGTCTGGACCAGACAATACACTGATTGACATCATGAGCATCAATCCAGGCTATTAGGACACAATGACATGCATCAACCAAGTCAGCGATTCTGACCACCTGATCCCGTTAGTCGCCTCTTACAACAAACATAGTTGCCTCATACGGCAAGCATGGGTTGCTGAAGACCAACTCTACCCCGGATCTTCACAGGTCTGGCGGGGTGAAAAAAGTACCATCTTTAAATGTCTTTTAGTATGACACAGCTTTCCTATCTCCAGCACCCTTGGGGCGCCCCATCCTAAAAATTTCACTGTTCTTTCATGTATTTTTACAAGTTGGCTTGTCTGGCTCAGTCACAAATACAACAGTGAACATACATATCTGCCAGGTGAAAGTCAAATATACGAGAGTCTTCTTGTTCAATAAAATATATCGACGGTTCACTTTACAAAGCGACAATTTAATTGTACATTTGTGCCAAAAATGTTGATTGGATAATTTTTTATATGTTGTTGATTTCAATTTTATTAGTGGGATGGAGAGCTGCAGAGGGTGACATTACTTACAAAATGAAGAGTGGTGGTATATGGGTCCAGGGTATTTAACTGAAAGGACTTAAAATACACTGGATAAAAGAGGATGACCTCCAACACAGGTGATATTACATCTGCTTATATACCAGTATGTTTCACTTCGGTCTACTTATATGTGACATTCTTATTATCACCAGTCCTTCATAATGGGATTAGAATTGGCTCCTAGCATCCCTTGGCTGAGGTAAGAGCCCGTATAATTAGAAATTGGGAGGAAATCTGGAAGAACTACTTTTCTTCCAAAAACTTAGGCTATACAAAATAATAGTCTTGGTTCTCACGCACCACCCGCATCATCACAAAGTTTGCTGCACGTTTCGTTTTTATTTCCATTTTTAAAAAAACAAAAAATCCTTAAATATTCCATTTCCAATGGTAGTCAAGTACTGTATTCCAGTAATTTATTCATTAAGGAATACATTTATGTAAGGAGCCTTTTCCCAGGTTGATTGTACACAACTGCTTATTTGGTCACACAACTGTTTATTTGGTCACATACTAGTTTGAACACCCCACCACCACCAAATAAAAAAAACACCGCCCACCTGCACTATATTTTAAAAAGCCATTGCCTGAAAACCAATTCTTTTATTTTTTTAAGCCTTTTATACATAAACTACTTGTCAAAACTAAGCTGTGGACAAGATGAAGTTAACTCTTTATATCAACCAATGGTCTCCATGCAACATTGGCCACTAGTTGGAAGCCTGAGTCTGGCAAAATGTTTGCCCACTATGTCTCCTAGCAGCCTATACCTTGACACAAAAATCTCTAAAATTGTTGTCAACAGACAAGTTCAGGCTGGTTGACTGACCTTGTGACACAGACTGATGGACTCTGACCACTACTTGATGACCCTTGAAGATCCGGGATAGGATAGGTCTTCAGCAACCAATGCTTGCTGTAAAAGGCAACTATGCTTGTCGTAAAAGGCTATTAACGGGATCGGGTGGTCAGGCTCGCTGACTTGGTTGATACATGTCATCGGTCCCAACTGCGTGGATCGATACTCATGATGTCAATCACTGGATTGTCTGGTCCGTTAAACAACAAACCAACCAAAACCAACTTGATTATCTACGGTTATTACTACGGTGAGATCACATCAACAGTGAGTTTACCCTGAGTAAGTCTAGACCCCTGGAGGCGATGTCTGTTGCCACCATGACATCCGTCTCTCCGCTCTGGAACCGGCTGAACAAACTGGACCGCCTCTGTAACAGATTGATACACATACAGTTGAGAGGATATAAACACCATGAGGTTCGTGTAGTCATCTTGGCTTGACGACAATTCAGTAAGAATCACCTCATAAAATCTGTACTATTTCTGCTGGCGTTTGTGTATTTGTTGTTCATCGCAATATTTGACTTATATGATGAAGGTCTGTAAGTAATCAAATCTGGACCAGTCAATCCATTGACTGACATCATGAGCATCGATCTATGCATTTGGGATACGATGACATGCATCCACCAAATCAATGAGCCTGACCACCTGATCCCTGAGTCGCCGCTTATGACTAGCAAGGGTTGCTGGAGACCAGTTCAAGCCCACAAAAACATTCCATCACACTTGGCTCAAACTTCCACCATACTGTCATCATACATGAATCCCCCACCCATCCCCCTGGCAGTGAACATTGATATCACATCAGGCACCCGTGAAGATCCGGGGTAGAATAGGTCTTCAGCAACCCATGCTTGCTGTAAAAGGCGACTATGCTTGTTGTAAGAGGCGACGAACGGGGTCGGGTAGGTCAGGCTCTATGACTTGGTTGAAGCATGTCATCGATACCAATTGCGTGGATCGATGCACATGATATCAATCACTGGACTGTCTGGTCCAGACTTGATTATTTACACACCGCCGTCATGTAGCTGGAATATTGCTGAGTACGGCGTAAAACAACAAACCAACCAACCAACCAAATCACATCAGGCAAATTTTTAAAAGAACAGAAGATACAGTTGTTTCTTTATACACTGAATATGTGTATTTCAATATTCCCTGTAGGGCTATGCATAGATGGGAATGACCTTTCAACTCATCATTTATTTAAAGGAATGGGGAGCTACGAGGATATTCTCTGACTTGAAACGCATCCCCTTTTTCAGACTTTGACAAAACATTCTCTTGTGGAAAAGAAGTCTTTGTAGTCAGTATATATTTAAAAATAGTTAATTTCTCACTGTTCTGTCATGTTTGTTTGTTGTTTAATGCCGCACTCAGCAGTATTCCAGCTACCATGACATGCATCAACCAAGTCAGCGAGCCTGACCACCCAATCCTGTTAGTCGCCTCTTACGACAAGCATAGTCGCGTTTTACGGCAAGCATGGGTTGCTGAAGACCTATTCTACCCGGATCTTCTCAGGTCGTTCTGTCATGTGTCGCCAGAGCTGAGTTTGACTGTGACACATCCTCAATCATTCAATTTGCTATAGTTAACATATATCCCCTTAAATTATTATCGTGAGTAAGCCAGTTTTTGTAGTCAGCTTACTTTACGTGAGCTATAAACAAGTAGGAACTTGGCCACACATGAACCTCACTGACAGTTTCAACCAGATGAAGCACCCATAAAATCTCCCAAAATTCACAAATTGCTGATGAGTTTGCTGATCTTCATGAACAATTGTGCTCATGCCAGGGATGTTTGTTTGACGTAGTCTAAGAAGGAAGATGCAATGTAATTTCTCCATTGCATCAGTCGTGATGCAGACAATTCAATCTTTCAAAATCAATAACTTGCACGATAACATCAGAATATCAAAATTTGACACAAATCCCATGACAGAAAAATCAAACTGATATCTGGTTTGTTTTTTGCTGAAAAACCCAATGTCTTAACACAGAACAGCCCCCTTGCAAGCTCTCACTGGAAACAGAACTAAGTTTCAACACTTGCCTAGTGGAGCGCTCGTATTTCCTAGATAGTAACAGAGGTCTTATAATAAATGTTCAGTCTGAATGGCTTCGTCATATGGAATTCCCACATCTATCAATGAAAGAAATATTATGTAACAAACTTTCAGGTCAAAGATATGCAGCATAATGCAGTACACATCGTCTTCCTGTTTAATGCTAACTAGTTTAAAAATTTGTCCATGACATAATACAACACTGACTAAATCTAGTTCCGAAATGTCATAGATGCCATTAAACAACAGTGAGTGAGTGAGTATGGTTTTATGCCGCTTTTAGCAATATTCGAGCAATATCACGGCGGGGGACACCAGAAATGGTCTTCACACATTGTACCCATGTCGGGAATCGAACCCGGGTCTTCCGCGTGACGTGTGAATGCTTTAACCACTAGGCTACCCGACTGCCCCCATTAAACAACAAATCTAATCACTTACCACTTGACTTCAGAAATGTATTACTCTCATGTTTTCAGGTCAATTGAATTTTGTTGGAAAAAATATAACACATAATTTATTGCGTACAGTACTGAGTCTAGGAAAGACATGTGAAAAAGTACAATATTATATAGCAGTTGCTTTACTTGTCTACATTAGGGCTGGGATGAGTCCAAATTTACTAGCCGGGTACCTGACCCCCTATTGCCCGACCCTTCCCTCATACCCACTGCAGGTCTCAAGAGTTGGGAACAAGATGTCTGATTAGGAATTTACCGCAGCCCTGGCCCAAACTATTTAGATACATGTATCAAACGATCAGATCATGTGTTCACTGAAGTTGACTGAAGCTTTATCTTTACTCAAACATATACAAGTCAAAGGAATGTGTGCATAGTCAGAAAAATGCAAACATTAGCGACTTGTAGTTTAACCACTGACCTATAGTGAGTTTTTGTCATTAAACACTATATCACGTGACTTTCCACGGGTCCAGGTAGTCCTGTGGGCACCCGGGTCCTACTCGGGAACCACCCAACCCGAGTACCCTCCGTCCCAGCCCTAGTCTACATCAATCTGTTATCCACAAATACAATAAAAAGTATGAGACAACAGATTAACAACTACATAGATGGTAGATAAATACCTGACCCGTCAAGGTCCAGGGTAGTATAGGTCTTCAGGAACCCATGCTTGCCGTAAAAGGCGACTATGCTTGTCATAAGAGGCGACTAACGGGATCGGGTTGTCAGGCTCGCTGACTTGGTTAATGCATGTCATCGTATCCCAATTGCGTGGCTCGATGCTCATGATATTAATCACTGGAATGACTGGTCCAGACACGATTATTTACAGGCCGCCGTCATATAGCTGGAATATTGCTGAGTGTGGCGTTAAACAACAAACCAAACCAAAAGATAAATACCTAAAACAGGATCCAAAAGCAGGATTAGTGGAATGAGGTAATATTCTGACATGAATGACTATCTTGCAAAACTGACCCCCAACAAAACGACGTAGGGAGTCATCATGAACCCCAGTTTAAGACGGAAAACCCGGCTCCTGTTTACCTTCTCCTGTATCACAGCATTCATCAGGACGTTAGACACGGCGTTCTCTCGCAGGAGTTCACTCAGCCAGAAGCAGGTCTCGCTCCTGTTGCTGAAGACGAGGGTTGGCAGGCCCTTCTGTTGGTTTGTGCGGGCCAGCTGCACAACTGTCTCTGTGGAGAGAGTCAGAAGTCAGTGTTACAGTCAGAAGTCACGGTCAGCTCAGAGATGAAGTCAGAAGTTACAGGCAGTCACAGGATTGTACAATCACTGCAGATGTCAGTCACTCAGTATTCTGACCTAAAGGTGCAGGAAAGTCCACAAAGGTCTGAATAATTACCTGCTTTCTGCGAGGGTTTCAGTTTGAGGAAGGTCTGAATAATTACCTGCTTTCTGCGAGGGTTTCAGTTAAAGAAAGGTCTGAATAATTACCTGCTTTCTGCGAGGGTTTCAGTTTGAGGAAGGTCTGAATAATTACCTGCTTTCTGCGAGGGTTTCAGTTAAAGGAAGGTCTGAATAATTACCTGCTTTCTGTGAGGGTTTCAGTTTGAGGAAGGTCTGAATAATTACCTGCTTTCTGCGAGGGTTTCAGTTAGAGGAAGGTCTGAATAATTACCTGCTTTCTGCGAGGGTTTCAGTTAAAGGAAGGTCTGAATAATTACCTGCTTTCTGCGAGGGTTTCAGTTAAAGGAAGGTCTGAATAATTACCTGCTTTCTGTGAGGGTTTCAGTTTGAGGAAGGTCTGAATAATTACCTGCTTTCTGCGAGGGTTTCAGTTAGAGGAAGGTCTGAATAATTACCTGCTTTCTGCGAGGGTTTCAGTTAAAGGAAGGTCTGAATAATTACCTGCTTTCTGCGAGGGTTTCAGTTAAAGGAAGGTCTGAATAATTACCTGCTTTCTGTGAGGGTTTCAGTTTGAGGAAGGTCTGAATAATTACCTGCTTTCTGCGAGGGTTTCAGTTAGAGGAAGGTCTGAATAATTACCTGCTTTCTGCGAGGGTTTCAGTTAAAGGAAGGTCTGAATAATTACCTGCTTTCTGCGAGGGTTTCAGTTAAAGGAAGGTCTGAATAATTACCTGCTTTCTGTGAGGGTTTCAGTCGTAGGAAGGTCTGAATAATTACCTGCTTTCTGCGAGGGTTTCAGTCGTAGGAAGGTCTGAATAATTACCTGCTTTCTGTGAGGGTTTCAGTCGTAGGAAGGTCTGAATAATTACCTGCTTTCTGTGAGGGTTTCAGTCGTAGGAAGGTCTGAATAATTACCTGCTTTCTGTGAGGGTTTCAGTTTGAGGAAGGTCTGAATAATTACCTGCTTTCTGCGAGGGTTTCAGTTAGAGGAAGGTCTGAATAATTACCTGCTTTCTGCGAGGGTTTCAGTTAAAGGAAGGTCTGAATAATTACCTGCTTTCTGCGAGGGTTTCAGTTAAAGGAAGGTCTGAATAATTACCTGCTTTCTGTGAGGGTTTCAGTTTGAGGAAGGTCTGAATAATTACCTGCTTTCTGCGAGGGTTTCAGTTTGAGGAAGGTCTGAATAATTACCTGCTTTCTGCGAGGGTTTCAGTTAAAGGAAGGTCTGAATAATTACCTGCTTTCTGTGAGGGTTTCAGTTTGAGGAAGGTCTGAATAATTACCTGCTTTCTGCGAGGGTTTCAGTTAGAGGAAGGTCTGAATAATTACCTGCTTTCTGCGAGGGTTTCAGTTAAAGGAAGGTCTGAATAATTACCTGCTTTCTGCGAGGGTTTCAGTTAAAGGAAGGTCTGAATAATTACCTGCTTTCTGTGAGGGTTTCAGTTTGAGGAAGGTCTGAATAATTACCTGCTTTCTGCGAGGGTTTCAGTTAGAGGAAGGTCTGAATAATTACCTGCTTTCTGCGAGGGTTTCAGTTAAAGGAAGGTCTGAATAATTACCTGCTTTCTGCGAGGGTTTCAGTTAAAGGAAGGTCTGAATAATTACCTGCTTTCTGTGAGGGTTTCAGTCGTAGGAAGGTCTGAATAATTACCTGCTTTCTGCGAGGGTTTCAGTCGTAGGAAGGTCTGAATAATTACCTGCTTTCTGTGAGGGTTTCAGTCGTAGGAAGGTCTGAATAATTACCTGCTTTCTGTGAGGGTTTCAGTCGTAGGAAGGTCTGAGGCACGTGAGGCATGAGGTGGTGGACGTGATCTGATGTCACTCTGTGAAGACTGTCGACCTGGTTGGGAGAAGCATGAACCATGTACCCAGTAGAACTGACACAAGAACCATTTACTCAGTAGAACTGACAAAAGAACCACCTACCCAGTAGAACTGACACAAGAACCATTTACTCAGTAGAACTGACACAAGAACCACCTACCCAGTAGAACTGACACAAGAACCACCTACCCAGTAGAACTGACACAAGAACCACCGACCCAGTAGAACTGACACAAGAACCACCGACCCAGTAGAACTGACACAAGAACCATTTACCCAGTAGAACTGACACAAGAACCACCGACCCAGTAGAACTGACACAAGAACCATTTACCCAGTAGAACTGACACAAGAACCACCTACCCAGTAGAACTGACACAAGAACCACCTACCCAGTAGAACTGACACAAGAACCACCTACCCAGTAGAACTGACACAAGAACCATTTACCCAGTAGAACTGACACAAGAACCATTTACCCAGTAGAACTGACACAAGAACCACCTACCCAGTAGAACTGACATGCCTCTAGACTAGAGGTCACAAGCCCCAAAGTCATGCATTTAGCTGAAAAGCAGTCACACAATTGTGTCTGCTTTCAACAAGATTTTATGCATGTCAGCAAAAATCCAAGCAACATCAAAGCAGCCTGTAAAAACTAGTGGTTGATAGCATGAATAATGATCCATGCTGACGTGTGGCAGGACAATAGCATAGGACACATCTTTCTCTCACAGGACACCACTGACTCTCACATAGGACACCACTCACTCTCAAACAGAACACCACTGACTCTCACAGGACACCACTGACTCTCACATAGGACACCACTGACTCTCACACAGGACACCACTGACTCTCACACAGGACACCACTGACTCTCACAGGACACCACTGACTCTCACACAGGACACCACTCTCACTCACACAGGACACAACTGACTCTCACATAGGACAGACACACTACTGACAGTTATTTCCATTTAAAAATAATGGACTCACTGCTATGGTGTCTCCAATCTTCTCCTCCAGGCCTCGGGGGATGGTGGCCCCCACAAGTGTGAACTGTGTCCCATCCATATGTCCAGCTGCTGCGTGACCACTGCTCGCGGTAACCTGGCAACAAGACACATCCTCAACATAATGAAGGCTTGAATTCTTCGGCAGTTTGGGAAGAGAATGGGGACATTCATGGGGTACATTCTAGATCTGGTCTACCCTTACCCTTAGTTTCTGCAGAATAGACAAGACTTCGGAAGAAAAACTATCATCCAGGAGAGAGTCGGCTTCATCCAGAATCACATGCTGTAGGAATCCAGATCTCATTAACCCTGCAAGGAGGACGTTGATCATAATCAGGGCATATAGGAAAATCACACTCACAATCAACAGATTCTAGGTGTTAGGGATCGCAACCCATTACCCTGGGTACCGAATCAGCGTTCCACACTGCTTAGGAGCAATGCGTGAGGCAAGGGCGTTTATTGACTATAGAAATATAGCTTTCGACCTTGCCGAACGAGGCTTGAATTTCTAAGCTTAATCGTAGAGCCACCAGTGGCTATTACCAGTTATGTCCCAAAAGGTAACTCTGGAATTCCAGCTAGTTCAGCAAGGGTGGACACTGGACATTTTTGGTGAGTAAACACGCTTGCCTCTTGAAGATGTAATTAATCAAACTGGGTCAGGTACACCTCCTTGGAATTATGACTCACAATCAAACAGTCCTACACTGTAACCAAATCTTCAATCAGCTTCATCAACAAGCCTGCTGGAGGCCTAAACTGCTCTCAATCTCAATAAAATCAGATCCTAGTTCTACCGCTAAACAAAGATCTAAGGACATCACATTACAGGTCATGTCAGACCGACCTTCCGCGAACTTTGACCGACCAATGGAATGACTGACAAGAAGTCAACATTTGCCAATCAGAAGGCTGTTTAATCGAGGTTAACGGCACAAGTTTCAAGTTGGTGACTACGCTTCAAAACATATTTTGACATATACTCCATTAAAAAATCAAAAACTGAACAAAAGAACATTCTGGAATGGCTAATAGATGGTCTGGATTGTATCAATACAGACATAAAGCCCATTACTGTCGTTCGGATTACCCGGTATGTCTTTTTATCCCGAGGTTGCGTGATCAAAAATCACATTCCAATTGTCACTTTCATGATCTGATAAGAGACGCTCTGATTGGTCATATGAATGGTCGGTCTGATGTGACCCGTAATGGGATGTCCTCAGATCTTTGTTTAGCGGTAGAACTAGCATCTGATTTTATTGAGATTGAGAGGAGTTAAGGCCTCCAGCAAGCTTGTTGATGAAGCTGATTGAAGATTTGGTTACTAAGATCTGATTTTAATGAGATTGAAACTGCTGCCAAGTCTAGATGATAGACAGACAATTCCCAGATAAACATCTTACACAGAGCGCCGGTTCAGGTGAGCTACAAAATCTGATATTCAGAACTGCTGTATTAATCTAACATTGACGAAAACGTTGGCCATAGATCTGTTGAACTTGGATGCTGTCATTGATGGACCATGTCGACAACTTGGATGCTGTCATTGATGGACCATGTGGACAACTTGGATGCTGTCATTGATGGACCATGTGGACAACTTGGATGTTGTCATTGATGGACCATGTGGACATCTTGGATGCTGTCATTGATGGACCATGTGGACAACTTGGATGCTGTCATTGATGGACCATGTCGACAACTTGGATGCTGTCATTGATGGACCATGTGGACAACTTGGATGCTGTCATTGATGGACCATGTGGACAACTTGGATGCTGTCATTGATGGACCATGTCGACAACTTGGATGTTGTCATTGATGGACCATGTCGACAACTTGGATGCTGTCATTGATGGACCATGTGGACAACTTGGATGCTGTCATTGATGGACCATGTCGACAACTTGGATGCTGTCATTGATGGACCATGTGGACAACTTGGATGCTGTCATTGATGGACCATGTGGACAACTTGGATGCTGTCATTGATGGACCATGTGGACAACTTGGATGTTGTCATTGATGGACCATGTGGACAACTTGGATGCTGTCATTGATGGACCATGTGGACAACTTGGATGCTGTCATTGATGGACCATGTCGACAACTTGGATGTTGTCATTGATGGACCATGTCGACAACTTGGATGCTGTCATTGATGGACCATGTGGACAACTTGGATGCTGTCATTGATGGACCATGTCGACAACTTGGATGCTGTCATTGATGGACCATGTCCACATCTTACCTGCACCCAGGAACTTCCGTAGAACACCTGGTGTTGCCATCAAGATATCCATGTTGGCCTTTTCACCCCAAGCCAATCGATGCTGGAATAAAGGAACTTAACATTTTTATCAATCACTTGCACTTTTTTTAATACATGCTGATGGGGATCCCAGAAAATATATAGAGCCCTGAACAAGGATATACATGTTTAACTGTTTTTTTCTCTCTAATTGCTTTAAATACGAACATTTTTTTTGTCATTACATACCTTTTATATTCTTAGCTTTTAAGGATTAAGCAAGTATTTGAAAATATACAATCATGTGTCACCATAGCCGAGGTCAACCATTAGATGTCCTCAAATCAAATAATAGGTCGTAGATCCCTGCTAACGACAAAATTTGAAATAATTCACTTGTCTTAACATGAGTGAGTGAGTGAGTTGGGTTTTACGCCGCTTTTAACAGTATTCCAGTTATATCACGGCGTGTCAGCTTAATGTGGGAGGAAAGCTCGAAGTGATGCAGGTCTCAGACGTTTACCACTTCGGTGAAACCCACGAGCACGGGTATGGTGCTGACAAACCTAGAAACATAATCGGGGAGAACCGGGATTCGAACCCACAATCATAGGTTTCTGGCATGCCCAAGGGACGCAACTCTGCACAGCGAAACGCGGCGCCTTAGACGACTGGGCCACCCGTGCCCCCTGTCTTAACATGAAAAAAATTAGTTCTGGCCATTCCAGGTGTAAATGAATTGAAATGCTGGTTCAGGTTAAAGTGTAACTGACAAACAACTCTCCATTTCTGAAAAATTATTGAGTGTTTCAACAATAGAATGACATCACAGAAGAGAATGTTTTGTCAAAGCGTAAAAGTTGGGATGTGTTTTAAGTTGGGGAATATCCTCGTAACTCTCCATATTGCATACCTCAGTTCTACACCCTCCACATGTTGCATATCTCAGTTCCACATATTGCATAACTCAGTTCCACATTTACATAATTCAGTTCCACATATTGCATAACTCAGTTCCACATATTGCATAAATCAGTTCCACATTTACATAACTCAGTTCCACATATTGCATAACTCAGTTCCACATATTGCATACCTCAGTTCTAAAGCCTCCACATATTACATGTCTCAATTCAAAACCTACCACATATTGCATTTCTCAGTTCCACATATTGCATACTTTAGTTCCAAACCCTCCACATATTGCATACCTTAGTTCCACGCCCTCCACATATTGCCTACCTTAGTTCCACGTCCTCCACATATTGCATAAGGCTGTATATCGGTGTATTCACACAATCTTTGGCAGACATCCTATAAATAGAACAATACATAAAAGAAAACGTTTTTACTATTAACCTTAAATAAATCAACAATTATATATTATTAGTAAAATCTAAATATTTTTTCCATTTGCATACTTATCCTGCATTTAATTACTCCTTAATGCATTCACTGCTTACATTACAACAACAACAACAACAAGAGTTTGCCACTAACGTGGCTATATCCCCCACCCCTGTTGCAGAATTTATGACATAATTAAATCTAAACAAACCCTAACCTTTTTTAACCAAGGTGGAACTTGTCATAGAAATTGTAAAAAAAAGGCACCAGTTCAGCATGTACCTGACAAACCTGCAAAGTTTGATGAAATAATATTGAACGGGTTATGAGTTATGCTCCGGAAACGAACCCTCCCCTCACAGAACCTAAGTCCATCTTGTTGCCATGGAAACATAAAAAATATAAATTTCTAAAATTTCTAAATAGCAAAAGGCACCAGTTCAGCATGTACCTGACAGACTTGCCAAGTTTGATGAAAAAATATTAAACGGTTTCTGAGTAAGGCTCCGGAAATGAAACGTGAAGGATGGACGGCGACGGAGCCCGTTTCTATATCCCCTGCCAACTTTGTTGGGCGGGGGATAAAAAGACAGCAGTGGTCTTGGGTGAAGAAATATAGTTGTTTCAAAGTTCCACTCCTGCTTTTTGCTTGGACCGTTGCCGCGGTCATGTGAAGTCACCTTCCTCACATCACTGCCTGTTGCCCGAGCTTTTAAAAAAATACTTTTGAGGTTTCTGAAGCCAAAGTGGGGATACATATCAGGATGTGGTCAGTGATTTTGGGATACATATCAGGATGTGGTCGGTGAGTTTGGGAAACATATCAGGATGTGGTCGGTGAGTTTGGGATACATACCAGGATCTGGTCGGTGAGTTTGGGAAACATATCAGGATGTGGTTGGTGAGTTTGGGATACATATCAGGAAGTGGTTGGTGAGTTTGGGATACATATCAGGATGTGGTCGGTGAGTTTGGGATACATATCAGGATGTGGTCGGTGAGTTTGGGATACATATCAGGATGTGGTCGGTGAGTTTGGGATACATATCAGGATGTGGTCGGTGAGTTTGGGATACATACCAGGATCTGGTCGGTGAGTTTGGGATACATATCAGGATGTGGTCGGTGAGTTTGGGATACATACCAGGATGTGGTCGGTGAGTTTGGGATACATATCAGGATGTGGTCGGTGAGTTTGGGATACATATCAGGATGTGGTCGGTGAGTTTGGGATACATATCAGGATGTGGTCGGTGAGTTTGGGATACATACCAGGATCTGGTCGGTGAGTTTGGGATACATATCAGGATGTGGTCGGTGAGTTTGGGATACATATCAGGATGTGGTCGGTGAGTTTGGGATACATATCAGGATGTGGTCAGTGAGTTTGGGATACATATCAGGATGTGGTCGGTGAGTTTGGGATACATAGCAGTGGTTGGTGAGTTTGGGATACATACCAGGATATGGTCGGTGAGTTTGGGATACATATCGGGATGTGGTCGGTGACTTTGGGATACATATCAGGATGTGGTCAGTGAGTTTGGGATACATACCAGGATCTGGTCGGTGAGTTTGGGATACATATCAGGATGTGGTCGGTGAGTTTGGGATACATATCAGGATGTGGTCGGTGAGTTTGGGATACATACCAGGATCTGGTCGGTGAGTTTGGGATACATATCAGGATGTGGTCGGTGAGTTTGGGATACATATCAGGAAGTGGTTGGTGAGTTTGGGATACATATCAGGATGTGGTCGGTGAGTTTGGGATACATATCAGGATGTGGTCAGTGAGTTTGGGATACATATCAGGATGTGGTCGGTGAGTTTGGGATACATACCAGGATCTGGTCGGTGAGTTTGGGATACATATCAGGATGTGGTCAGTGAGTTTGGGATACATACCAGGATCTGGTCGGTGAGTTCCCGGGAGGGGGTAAGGATGATGGCCCGTGGACAGTTGGGGGGGTGGTCTCCACTGAGTCTTTGCTTCTGGTGGTGGATCATCTCCAGGGCTGGCAGCAGGTAAGCCAGTGTCTTACCACTTCCTAAAACACAGGAGTTCAACAATGACTAACTCAGCATCTAGAGATATGCAGGCTAATACGGGGAACATATAATCCACTAACATTATGCAGGCCTCTCACAGCACTCCCTCTCCCCCCTCACAACCCTCCCTCTCCCCCCTCACAACCCTCCCTCTCCCCCCTCACAACACTCCCTCTCCCCCCTCACAACCCTCCCTCTCCCACCCCCATAGCATCACAACACTCCCTCTCCCACCCCCATAGCATCACAACACTCCCTCTCCCACCCCCACAGCATCACAACACTCCCTCTCCCACCCCCATAGCATCACAACCCTCCCTCTCCCCCTCACAACTCTCCCTCTCCCACCCTCACAACACTCCCTCTCCCACCCCCATAGCATCACAACTCTCCCCCTCACAACCCTCCCTCTCCCACCCTCACAACACTCCCACCCCCATAGCATCACAACACAGCAGACTGTCACACTGTCTATGTACCTGTCTCAGCAGCACACAGCACATCGTCACCTTCTAGGATGGCTGGAATTGTTTGGGACTGCAAGGAAACAAACATGGATGAAACCTACAGTCCAAAGACATTTCAAATGTTACAAGAAAATCTTATATATTCCTAGTTTATTAAGAGCAGGCCCCATGTGGACTCTGGGTTAGAATAGGTCCAAGCAATTGCAACTTAAGGGATTGATGACAAGGATCGTTGATTGTAATATCACTGGATTGTCTGGTGCAAACATTTAAACTTCCAGGTGCATGGAGACATAAAGACTAGGTTACACTTATCAATAATAGATTGCACTGGTGTGAGTTGTATATAGTTAAATCGAGCCTTGGTTATTCATAGCTTGAATATTGCTGAGTAAGGCATTAAACAACAACCATAATTAGATTCAGAAAACAAATATACATACTACCATGTGAACATGATCAGCTGTATCCTGACATCACCTGTATGTACCCTGACATCACCTGTATGCACCCTGACATCACCTGTATGTATCCTGACATCACCTGTGTGTACCCTGACATCACCTGTATGTACCCTGACATCACCTGTATGTATCCTGACATCACCTGTATGTACCCTGGCACACCTGTATGTATCCTGACATCACCTGTATGTACCCTGACACACCTGTATGTATCCTGACATCACCTGTATGTACCCCGACATCACCTGTATGTACCCTGACATCACCTGTATGTACCCTGACATCACCTGTGTGTACCCTGACATCACCTGTATGTACCCTGACATCACCTGTATGTATCCTGACATCACCTGTATGTACCCTGACACACCTGTATGTACCCTGACATCACCTGTAGGTACCCTGACATCACCTTTATGCACCCTGACATCACCTGTATGTATCCTGACATCGCCTGTGTGTACCCTGACATCACCTGTATGTACCTTGACATCACCTGTATGTATCCTGACATCACCTGTATGTACCCTGACATCACCTGTATGTACCCTGACATCACCTGTGTGTACCCTGACATCACCTGTATGTACCCTGACATCACCTGTATGTACCCTGACATCACCTGTATGTACCCCGACATCACCTGTATGTACCCTGACATCACCTGTATGTACCCCGACATCACCTGTATGTACCCCGACATCACCTGTATGTACCCCGACATCACCTGTATGTACCCTGACATCACCTGTATGTACCCCGACATCACCTGTATGTACCCCGACATCGCCTGTATCTACCCTGACATCACCTGTATGTACCCTGACATCACCTGTATGTACCCTGACATCACCTGTATGTACCCTGACATCACCTGTATGTGTGTGGGCTCTGTGTATCCCAGCTGATCAAGTCCCTCCTGGAGTCCAGCATGGAGTTCAAAGTCTGTGAAGTTTGGATGATGATTTCTTCCTTCAAGAGCAGGGTTCTGAAACAGAATGTTTATGAGAAGCTGTCTGAGCTGCCGTTTGAACATTGCTGATAATTGTGTTATAATATGACCCACATTCAAATTTCAGAAATATGGGTTTTTCAGATTAAAAACGATGTTTTATTGGTCTGTTTTCAGTCGTACAAATGGGTATCTCTCATACCCTCACGTCTAGTCGCATGTTTAGAGGAAGCCAGAAGCTGGAATGTAAACATTAAACTTGTTTCCGTCCGGTTGCGCACGCACCTCCCTATGACATGTCACAAATCTCGAAGAATAAGCCATCAAGCAGGACTGGACTGGATTACTTCCCTGTGGGGATGGCTGGGTGGGAACGTACGACTGAAAACAGACCAATAAAACATCGTTTTTAATCTGAAAAACCCACGTTTTAGTCTGTTTTCAGTCGTACAAATGGGTAGAATTCGACGGAACACTGGAAGGAGGGTCGGGAAAGTAATCAGGCAGTGACCACTTTCACGTCGAATGTACCAAGTTCCTCACCCCTGTAGTGACAATAGAACATTCGACCAGATGCACGGACGAGACAAGTTGTTTATCACGAACGCACAGCATGGTTAATGCTCTTCGACACACAACTAATTATCGATGCGACAGGCCAACTGCACGCGTCAGTTGAACTGCGATCGAAGTGTGGTCGACGAATAGTTTAGTTACAGAGCAACTCGCAGTATACAAGGTAACTAAAACAGCATGTTTAATGCTCTTCGACTCACAACTGATTATCGAAGCGACAGGACAACTGCACACGTCAGTTGAATTGCGATCGAAATGTGGTCAGCGTATAATTTAGTTACAGAACTCGACAAGGTAACTAAAATAGCATGGGTAATGCTCATCGACACACAACTAATTATCAATGCGACAGTACAACTGCACACGTCAGTTGAACCCGGATCGAAGTGATGTCGACGCATAATTTAGTTACAGAGCAACTCGCAGTATACAAAGTAACTAAAAAATACGAGCAGTACTATAATGTATGGGAAGACGATGCATACACCGAATAACCATAATAAAAAGCAGAAGTACTGCACGCAACAAAAAACCATAAGAATGCGTACATTCACCAACAGATTTTATTGTAACCTGTAGTATGTCACGAAGTGTCGAGCAAAAACTCCAAAGTGAATAAAACACAAATTCACTGTCTTTTCTGAGAGATCTGTTGTGCCACCACGAGTGGACCAAACTGTTTGAGTCCTTCAACCTCTTCTGTGGAGATATCTCTGAGATAATGCGAAGCAAACACTGAAGTAGATCTCCAAAAGCAGCCCACCATAATAACTTGTAGCGAACAATTACTGTGGAGTGCTAATGTTGAAGCGAAGGCTCGAACTTCGTGCGGATGAGATGAGGTGGGAGGTGCGAGTCCTTGCGCCTCGTAAGCTCTGAGAATTACCGCTCTCAACCAAAATGAGAGAGTATTACGTGTAATCTCTTTCTTTGCTTTGGTTGAGAGCGGTATGAACAGCCGTCGAAAATGTTGTCGTCGCTGTTCAGAACGCTGCAGGTAAATACGAAGCGCACGAACTGGGCACAAGGTGAGATCAGCGTGATCACGAGGGCCCATAATGGCAGACAAGGAAGGAATGTTGAACATTCTCGGATCTTGGCCAGGAAGTGAATTTTTCGCTAAAAAATCCCATCGGAGACCAAGATGGACGTTGCCATGGTTACGCTGATCGAACGTAATCCGACTGACATCAATGGCATGTATTTCCGTAATTCTCGCAGCCGTAGCCAGCGAGAGAAGGAAAAACCGTTTTCTGAGACAATAAGTCGAACGCGACCTTATCGAGAGGCTCGTAAGCCTGACTAGACAGGTTGCACAGAACGACATCGAGGTCCCAGGCCGGCGGTCGGAATTTACGTGACTGATCTTCAACCATGAAGGCACGTAGAATCTTCTGCAACTCCGGTACGTTAGTGAGCTTGTCGCCCGTAGGAGACGGCACTACTGAAGCCAAAGCTGCCAGATATGTCGAGATCGTCGACCCTTTCAGACGCCGAGATGACCGGAGAGAGACTAGGAATTCCGCCACCTGTGGTGGGGTCTCTACCGCCGGGTTGAAGCCATGAGACCTGGCGAAAATGGAGAAAGTGGTCCACTTGTCATCTTACAGCTTACGAGTCGTAACTCGATGTGCAGACGAGACAAGCGCTGCCGCTTTAGCCGAATAGCCTTTCTTCATTAACGAGGTCTGAAGCAAACCCAGGCGTGAAGCTGGAAGTTCTTTATCCCCGGATGCAAGTCGTCGGTGTGAGGATGAAGAAGGAGGTCGTCTCGATCTGGCAACGGGAACAGTGGTTGAACGATGATCTGAAGAAGTTCCGGGAACCATGTTCTGGCCGGCCAATAAGGCGAGACCAAAAGCAGACGTAGGTTGGCCGTTTGACGAACTTTCACCAGTTGCGATGGTAACAGCACCGTTGGTGGAAACGCGTAAGCGTCTAGACCCCCCACGATATCGCTAGAGCGTCGTGGTCCCATGCCCATGGGTCTGGAACCGGCGACACGAATCGAGGGAGGCGGTTGTTGTACGGGGCAGCAAAGAGATCTACTTGGGGCAACCAGAGTCGATCTGTCAGCAGATGAAAGACTGTCGGATGGATCATCCACTCCGTGGGAGACGGCCTGGATGGTCTCGACAGGGCGTCGGCAATCACATTCTTGGCCCCCGGGATGTGACGGGCGCGTACGCCCATGTCCAAGTCGTCGACGAGGGCGAAGAACCTGAATGTCCGGTCCAGAAGGGCCGCCGACTGAGTTGTTCCCTGTTTGTTGACGCAGTGGACGACTGTGGAGTTGTCCGACTGTATCATCAACCGTTTCCGACGGAGTCGAAGTTTCCAAAACTCGACCGCCCGAATCACTGCTTCCATCTCGAGGTAGTTGATGTGGAGGACCTTTTCTACTGGCGACCACCGCCCGGCCGCTTGGTCGTCCCCGAAGTGCGCTCCCCAGCCTTCCAATGACGCGTCTACGAATAGGTGTAGTATGAACGGAGGCTCGCTCATAAAGACGCCCTCGCAAACGTTCGACAACTGGAGCCACCACTCCAAATGACAACGTAACTGCGCCGGAAGTGGAACCAGGAGATTGGGAAACTCCAGGTGGGGGTACAGCAATCCCTGCAGCGGACGAAGTTGAAGATGACCTCGACGGGTCAAGTCTTGGGCCGATGTCAACAGACCGAGGACTTCCTGCCACGTGTGCACCGACGACGAGGCATGTAGACGTCCCGGAACGCTGCTGACAATCTTGTCCCAACGGTCTTGAGGTACCTGGACCAGATTGACTCCCGTCTGGAAGCGTATCCTAATGTACTGTAGAACCCGAGGTGGTACCAAGTCCGACTTTTGAAAGTTGACGATCCACCCGAGGTACCGTAGTAGACTCAGGGTGGTCGCCAACTCACCTTGAAGGGCTACTGTAAACTGGTGAGCTTGGAGCTCGTCGTCTAGGTAGAAGGCGACCCTGATCGCCTGCCGATGGAGCCATTCTACGACCGTCTTCATGATCCGTGTGAAAAAGCACGGGGCCGTAGAAATTCCAATCGGGAGGGCCGCCCACTGGTAATGAATACCTTGGCATTCGAATCGGAGGTACTTCTGGAACTCGGAAGCTATTGGTACATGTAGATACGCGTCCTGAAGGTCTAACGAGACGAGGAAGTCGTTCGGTAATATCATCCGACGCAGAGAGCTGAGGGATGTCAAGGTGAATGTGTCGGGTGGTTGGAGGTATGTTGCCTTGAGGAAAACCAACTTGTGGGCATAGTGACGAAGTCGCCCCCCTACCGGTAGCTCGTCTAAAGGTAGTGTCACCGGGGGAGACTCCAACCACGGCGACGGCGGGGGAAGGGACCTCACTTCCTCCCCCGCTGGTACTTTCCCCCTCTGGGAAACTTGGAAAAGGAGACCTGGCGACCTTACCTGTCTGAACCTCCCTTGCGGGACGGCTGTCGAGGCACGTCCCTACGGAAGGCCCGTTGCACATTCTCGTTTCGGTAACGTCGTCGTGGGGCGTTCGAAACCGGTGGCCGTCTGGACAGGCTGGGTGAAGCCGAAATGATGATGTCACGCTCGGCTTCCCTGGAGTACTTGTCCAGAACGTCGTTGGTACGACCGTCGAACAACTGTTGCGATGTCCACGGGGCCCGTAAGAGTGACCTGCCATGACGATAAGGTAGGTCAGTGCAGTCGATGTAACCATGGCGACGCGCCGTAGTAATCTGGCCCGATACATATCGGGACTGGGCGAGGACGTCCTAGATCCTCCTGTGGTCCTCGTCCTGGGGTTCTTTCACCTCAAAGTACACTGAGAGGGCCTTGATCGCTGTCGACAGCATAGCAAGCGTTTGCAGCTGGTGACGAACAGCAGTGCCCATGGATTCCAAATGTGGAGGGTGCTGGTCTCTTGAAGAGTAGCCCCCAGTCCAAATCCCTAGTCATGGGTGACGAAAACGGCATGCCATAGATCGGGTAACGAGATCGACCAGGCGGCTTGCAGAAGCTCTGCCCAGGCAGAGCAGAGCCAAAGTTCTGGTCCATATCGTGAGCCATGGCTCTGAAGACATCGGGAGGAGAAAACTGAAGAGACTGCGGTGTATCTCCGACCTTAAAGCCCGCACGCGTCGGGTTGTCATCGTTCTTTGCTGGCTGTCGTCACAATCCATCGTCGACGTTGAGTGTGGAGGCGTAGATGAAGGAGCTGCTGTACTAGTTGACGGGCCATGGACCCCTGACGTAGTCGTATCCTTCTTGGTCAACGCCGTCGAGGCGAGGACCGCCGCCGTGATCTGGGCTATCAAAGCCGGGTCGATATGAAAGTGAGACGAGGTCGTCGTTCTGTCACTATCTTCACTACGACGCTGAACCCCCAAACTCTCCCTGCGAGAACGTCGCACGTCCCCGTGGGGACAAGGGCTACGATCTCTAACTGTAGAAGTACTACGATCCCCATTGTAGAATAGTTGACGGGCCATGGACCCCTGATGTAGTCGTATCCTTCTTGGTCGACGCCGTCGAGGCGAGGACCGCCGCCGTGATCTGGGCTATCAAAGCCGGGTCGATATGAAAGTGAGACGAGGTCGTCGTTCTGTCACTATCTTCACTACGACGCTGAACCCCCAAACTCTCCCTGCGAGAACGTTGCACGTCCCCGTGGGGACGAGGGCTACAATCTCTAACTGTAGAAGTACTACGATCCCCATCGTAGTTATCGTCCGAATCGTACATTCGACGACCACGATGACGATGAACGCCCTCGTGTCGTGTACTGTCTCTCGACGAGGCACTCATCCTGTCGTCCCGACTTGAACGGGAACGACTTCTGTGTCCACTGTCGTCCCGCACGACGTCCCTATCGTCGTTGGTAGAACGAGATGCGGACCGACTTGGGACCATAGTCCCCTCATGGTCCTCGTCACCACCCGGTCCCGTCGTAACGGGGGAGGCTGAGTGATGCTCTCGATCAACTGAATGACGAAGACCAGTCGTGCGGGTAGTATCATCAGCAGGCGAACGGTCACGTGTCTTGTCGAAAACTGAAGTTGACTGAGGCGGGTCTTTTTCAACTGATTTCTGAGGTGTGGTCGACTCGCCACCCCCAGGGCCTGATGCTGAGGGTGCAGAGTCCAAGGATCCAACCAATGACCATCTCCGCTTGTAGCGCTGGTCAGCGGCCCGCTTCGCCAACGCACGAAGATACAAGTTAAAGTTTATTGAAGACAAGTTCTCACATATTTTACAACGTTTATTCCACGAATACGTTGAAAACCCGTCCTTAATGATGCAGGAAGGACAATACTTGTGAGGGTCTACTTTAGACAGTTTTCGTTGACACGAGGCACAAATGCCCGACATATTGCCACGTGTAGAATCACTGTCAAACAGCGAAACACGCGTTGAACACAAACAATGGATTACCAAGGATTACATTCCAGGAGTCTACAGGTAAGACATATTATGACTTTATTAGAACAACTGTAGATAAGCGATAAGTACTAGTAGAATACAAACTAGCAGTCTACCGCGAAAGACTTTCTCAAGCGACCAGCGCAGAGGCGCGCTGAGAGATTTGTGACATGTCATAGGGAGGTGCGTGCGCAACCGGACGGAAACAAGTTTAATGTTTACATTCCAGCTTCTGGCTTCCTCTAAACGTGCGACTAGACGTGAGGGTATGAGAGATACCCATTTGTACAACTGAAAACAGACTAAAACAAATCTTTTTAAACTACATTGGTATTACCAAACCTGATACCAATCTGGCCATGTCAGACCCTGTCACAGACACCTACCTGGCCATGTCAGACCCTGTCACAGACACTAACCTGGCTATGTCAGACCCTGTCACAGACACTAACCTGGCCATGTCAGACCCTGTCACAGACACTAACCTGGCCATGTCAGACCCTGTCACAGACACTAACCTGGCCATGTCAGACCCTGTCACAGACACTAACCTGGCTATAAGGGACCCTGTCAGCGACACTAACCTGGCTATAAGGAATCCTGTCACAGACACCTACCTGGCCATGTCAGACCCTGTCACAGACACTAACCTGGCTATGAGGAACCCTGTCACAGACACTAACCTGGCTATAAGGGATCCTGTCACAGACACCTACCTGGCCATGTCAGACCCTGTCACAGACACTAACCTGGCTATGAGGAACCCTGTCACAGACACTTACCTGGCTATAAGGGGCCCTGTCACAGACACCTACCTGGCCATGTCAGACCCTGTCACAGACACTAACCTGGCTATGAGGAACCCTGTCACAGACACTAACCTGGCCATGTTGGACCCTGTCACAGACACCTACCTGGCCATGTCAGACCCTGTCACAGACACTAACCTGGCTATGAGGAACCCTGTCACAGACACCTACCTGGCCATATCAGACCCTGTCACAGACACCTACCTGGCCATGTCAGACCCTGTCACAGACAGTAACCTGGCCATGTCAGACCCTGTCACAGACACTAACCTGGCTATAAGGGACCCTGTCACGGACACTAACCTGGCCATGTTGGACCCTGTCACAGACACTAACCTGGCTATAAGGGACCCTGTCACTGACACTAAATTGGCTATAAGGGACCCTGTCACAGACACTAACCTGGCTATAAGGAACTCTGTCACAGACACCTACCTGGTCATAAGGGACTCTGTCACAGACACTAACCTTGTTATAAGGAATCCTGTCACATACACTAAACTGGCTATAAAGAACCCTGTCACAGACACTAACCTGGCTATAAGGAACCCTATCACAGACACTAACCTGGCTATTAAGGACCTGTCACAGACACTAACCTGGCTATAAGGGACCCTGTCACAGACACTAACCTGGCCATGTCGGACCCTGTCACAGACACCTACCTGGCTATAAGGGACCCTGTCACAGACACTAACCTGGCTATAAGGAACCCTATCACAGACACTAACCTGGCTATTAAGGACCTGTCACAGACACTAACCTGGCCATGTTGGACCCTGTCACAGACACCTACCTGGCTATAAGGGACCCTGTCACAGACACTAACCTGGCTATAAGGAACCCTATCACAGACACTAACCTGGCTATTAAGGACCTGTCACAGACACTAACCTGGCTATAAGGAACCCTATCACAGACACTAACCTGGCTATTAAGGACCTGTCACAGACACTAACCTGGCTATAAGGAACCCTATCACAGACACTAACCTGGCTATTAAGGACCTGTCACAGACACTAACCTGGCTATAAGGGACCCTGTCACAGACACTAACCTGGCCATGTTGGACCCTGTCACAGACACTAACCTGGCTGTAGGGGACGAGGGTGAAGTGGTCTCCTGCCGACTGCTTATTCTTCCAGCCGTGGGATGCAAGTATCTTTGGATCAAACCCACTGTAAGTCTGGCCCTTGTGGTGATTAAACTGCTCTCTCTTGCATGATATCACCAGTGGGGACTTGAATGTTGATCGGCGCTTCTTTTGCAGTGCCAATAGTTCTTTTCGTTCTTTGGCTTTTTCAACCTTCTGGACCATTTTCTGGGGAAGTGTGATTCTTGGCAGGCTGTTATTGATGATATTGGTCTGAAAACAGAAAATGAGTCTCTGGTTCAATGTAATATTTTTTTAAGATAATTTATACCAGAACTTGCAGCGACAGTCATCTTCCCGAGGCAAGTGAGTTAACTGACTGTAAAAGTCCAGTTTCCACCCTTGCCAAACTGGGCTGGAATTTCTGGGATCGATCACAGCGCCACCAGTGGCTATTACAAGTTATGTCCCTTCTATGTCACTCCTAAGAGCCAATCAGATTACACCTCTCATATCACTTGCATTTGCTTCAAACAAAAGTGCAGCACCCAATCAAGACGAACTGATCGATACTCAAAATCGTTTTTGTAATATAAAGGGCCTTACTTCGCAGAGGGCATAAAATCACATGAGCACTTTGATTAAAAACATGAAAAGATTTGGAAAATATTTTGTTGACGCTGAGGTTGTGGTACAGATGCTTTGCAAATCCTGTAATTGTAAATCTGTGCAGTCAGTGTGTGAACCGGATGTCAACTTCATGACACAATTTTGATTGGAGTATGCATTTACTCTTCAGTCCAGCCAAAATTTAAATCCATAATACCAGCCTAGTTCGGCAAAGGTGAAAAACTAGACATTTATTGTCTGTTGACTCCCTTGCCTCGGGATGCGATACAATGAGTGAGGAGAATCAACAACACAGAGGAGTCCTGAGTAAACAAGATAAAAATAAGTAACTGATTCTGTATTTAGTGATGAAACATTGTAAAACATTGTAATCTTACATGAGACTCCACATATATAATTAAACTATTATGTTCAACATAAGGTCATGAGTGAGTGAGTGAGTTTGGTTTAACGCCACTCTTAACAGTATTTCAGTTTTATCACAGCGTGTCAGCTTAATGTGGGAGGAAAGCCGGAAGTGATGCAGGTCTCAGACGTTTACAACTTCGGTGAAACCCACGAGCACAGGTATGGTGCTGACAAACCTAGAAACATAATCGGGTCAAACCGGGATTCGAACCCACAATTATAGGTTTCTGGCGTGCAGAAGGGAGGCAACTCTGCACAGCGAATTGTGGCACCTTAGACGACTGGGACCCCGTGCCCCCCAGAAGGTCATGAAGAGTAGTAAGAAAATATATCCTGAAAAGAACACTTGTCCTCTCTTTACTGAGTGGCCCCATAAACTTGACATATTCATGAGTGTTTGCAACACTCCTGAACACTCCAACTTTGTCAGATGTTATGGCCAACGTCACTACTTTCATGTAAGGGAGGTTAAAATGGCTGTGGCTATAAATAAATATTGTGTCATAAAGACATTGCAATGGAGTGCTACATAGAAGCTTGTTGCTCTTGTTCTGTGGAGTAAAATACTTTTCGATCCCAACAAGTGTCCAAAATGTAATTAATCCATCTTGAAAGTTGCAGCCTGCATTTGTATTTACATGCTTGAGTAGAAATCATCATTTTCTCAGGTTTACAGATACATTCACAAAGGTAGCTCCTCCTCTTCAGGGTGTGGGACACACATCAATGTCCATCTTCCCGAGGCAAGAGAGTTAACTGACTTTAAAAGTCCAGTTTCACCCTTGCCGAACTAGACTGGAATTACTGGGCTCGATCGTAGCGACACCAGTGGCTATTACCAGATATGTCCCCTCTAGGCATCTCCTATGGACCAATCAGATTCCACCTGTCGTATCACTTGCGTTTGTTTCACACAAAATAGTGGCGCCCAGTCAAGACGATCTGATCGATAATCATCGAAATGCATCAAATCACGTGAGCACCTTGATCAAAAACATGAAAAGATTTGGAAAATATCTGCTGACAACAAGTTGGCGGTGCACATGCTTTGCAAATCCTCCAATCGATCAAAATCTGCACGACAGTTTTCGATGATTTCGATTTCGGTGCGCGATTTTGATTGGACTATGCAAAGACTCGTTAGTCCAGCCAAAATGTAACTCCATAATGCCAGCCTAGTTCGGCAAGGGTGGAAACTGGACTTTTATAGTCAGTTAACTCTCTTGAGTCGGGAAGATGATCAATGTCGGACTCAAAACTATCAGTATTAGTGGTGCAATCCTCATAGTCATAACTGACTTTAGCAGTAAGAACACTAAGTGCTGGAATTTGCCTGTCAGGCAGGCAGGAGCAAATGTAGGCAGATCCAGAGGGGGGTCCACCACCCCCCACACCCCCTTTTGAAAACCAAATGTAGTATGTTGTAGGCAGTAAAATTATCTGAGAGGGGATTTTGATATTTTGGACCCCTCCCTTTTAAAAATGCTGGATCCGCCCTTCTTGTTGACACTTGTGAACTCATATCAGCTGAAACTTGTGTCTCCATCTGCAGCTTTAGTAAACGAATCAATGTTCAGACTTATTCCAAGATCCAATCATATCAGTCCTGTCCCTACATTGGCTTCCAGTCTCCTTTCGTATAAAGATATGTATCATCACTCACGACTGCCTCAACAATAGCGACTACCCAGACTATCTCAAAGATCTTATATCCCTGTACTCTCCAGAGCGTGCTCTCCAATCCTCTGGTGGAACTCTACTGTATCAGCCTCTGTCTACTTCTGCTATGTCTGACCGTGCCTTCTCCTTTTGCAGTCCACAGTTATGGAACTCTTTGCCTTTGAATCTGAGAAACTCTGCTTCTAAGGAAACGTTTAAGTCTCTCCTCAAAACCCACTTCTTCACTTCAGCTTTTCAATAGATCTCCTGATTGTTGGCATATGTACATAGACATTACATTTTAACTTTGTCACAGCGCCAGTGAGCAACTGTCGATGGATATTAGGCGATTTACAAATCAATTATTATTATTATTATTATTGTTATTAAACTAATTTTTGCAAATTCAAGATAAACATGATGAAACATAAGCAGAACATTATCATATTTTTCAATATTTGATGGAAGGTAAACAAATGTGCGGGCCAGCTAAATAAAGTTTAGTTTAGTACTGTAATGACACCCTGGTTTAACCTTCTGTCATAGCATACTTACAGATGACAGTCTGTGACACCTGATGATCTGATCCAACACCCGGAACAGGTAGGATCTCTCCATGTTGCCGTAGTGCTGATGTGTATGCTGTTAGCTAATCACTGTTTTTATCTGAAAGAAAGAATATTCAGGATAATTGCATGTGATTACCCATTGGGAATCAAAAAAACCCTGTGCTTGTCGTAAGAGGCAACTAAATTGATTGGGTGGTCAGGCTCGGTGACTTGATTGACTGCATGTCAAACAGACATTTTGTACTGAACTCTTGAGACCTACTGTTGGTACTTGGGTAGGGTTGGCTAATAAGGGGTGGGGTACCCGGGTAGCATATTTGGATCGTCCTAGCCCTAATGTCATTGTACTGAGACGGCGTGGATTGCTGCTCACAATATCAATCACTGGCCTATACTTGATAGTAGTGGGAAGATACACCGATGGATCGCGATTATTTACTTCACGATAAAAGTGTCCATCACATGCAGTAGCACATGCACGTATCGCGATACTCACAGTTGGCGTATCATCCCAGCCTAACTTGATTGTGTTATAAAATTTAAAATTACTCAGATAACTTAAATCCTTAGCCATCACATACATAAAATATGAACAAATTCTTATTTCTTAGCACATGTACAGATGTATAGTCTCTAGTAAAGATATCAAAGAATATTCTAAATGTTCAATTAAACTTTGTTGTGTTTGTTGTTTAACGCCGCACTCAGCAGTATTCAATCTTTATGACGGGGGTCTGTAAATAATCGAGTCTGGACCAGACAATCCAGTGATTAATATCATGAGCATCGATCCACGCAATTGGGATCGATGACATGCATCAACTAAGTCAGCGCGCCTGACCACCCGATCCCGTTAGTCGCCTCTTACGACAAGCATAGTCGCCTTTTACGGGTTGTTGAAGACCTATTCTACCTCGGATCTTCACGGATAAATATATAATCGAGTCTGGACAATCCATTGATATTACGAGCATTGATCCACGAGACTGTGTGGCACTGGTCTCTGGCAGTAGCTACTCTGTACTCTGCATAGCGTAGTAGCACTAGTCGGAGAAACGTTATCGGAAATAATAAGAGCTTAATTGCTTCGGCTGTATCGATGAAATAGTGAAGAACAAACCGCGCAGAACGAAATATTACCTCATAACCTCTATCTTTAAACCACATTCATCCACATGTTGGTGTACAGGAACTCACAGTCACGAGCAGTGAGTTATTTATCCGTAAAAGTGCTTAGTAGGAATCGCATTGATCCGTGTATGGAGTTTGATCCGTGTATGAAAAACTCTTTACACCAAACGCAATGTTTGGAGTTTGCGAGCATCTGTAAAAGTGGAGTTTTTTCATTGACGTTGATGTACGTTGTATGTATATATTAGCGATAGGTCACGTTTTGGAGTTTGTAAAATGTGGACAGCGGTTGCAATATGTGCGAATCTCAGGTATGAATGAACAGTTAGTCAGGAACTTGCTGGGAGAATGATAAAACAAAATCGACAATAGCAGCGACACGTGTATGCATTTAATGTGTTGTGCTTTGGAGATGTGTATATGGTTTAAGATGAGTGCGCAAAAGAAATGCAGATATTTATTTTGGAAGTTTGTTTAGATTAGAAAAGAAACGCACAGGTAGATTTTTAGTAAATTTATTGTACCTAATAAAGTCGATATATTTTATTCAATATCATAGATACAAATATGAAATTTTGGAGCTCGATAGTGGTCACATGTTGTCGTTGTACAAAGACATTGAAAACTGTTCATTGTCATGTCACATAAGGCCACAAGGTTACGCTGAACTCAGTATCTCGTGTGACCTCCCTGGGCAGAAATCACGGCTCTGCATATCCCCGGCACTGACTGGATAAGTGTACGAATTCTGTCCTGTGGGAATGTCTGAGGCGTGTTCTGACGTTGACGTACACGTCGATCGAGTTCATCCCCGAGGTGTTCGATTGGGTTGAGATCTGGAGATCTCGACGGCCAGGGCAAGCCGTTGATGTTGGCACTGTGAAGGTAGTCTACCGTGACACAAGCTGTGTGCGGTGGAGCGTTGTCCTGTTGAAACAGCTCCCTCTGGCAGTCAATGATTGGAAGAAGGTGAGGTTGAAGAATTTGATTCATGTAGCGATTTGCTGTCGAATTTCCCTGAAGCTCAACCAAGTCAGATCTGGTGGTGTAGGATATGGCCCCCCACACCATGATACTACCGCCACCGGAATTGTCGAATTCACGTACACAATGTGGGGCAAAACGCTCATTCGACGACGATAAACACGTTGTCTTCCATCTCGCCGCTGAAGAAGAAATCACACTCGTCTCCAGTTTCACAAATTCCAAGGATGTAAGGTATGGCACCAACGCAAGCATCGCTGTAGTTGGATCTGTTGCAAAACAGGGACCATAACTGGTCTTCTGGGTCGGATTCCAGCCTCGCGTCCGATATCCTCCTCAAGCCAGGGATGCGTCCTGCAGTCTCCGTAGCTGTGACATTGCGATGAAGTAGGTGGAACAGCCGCATGTAGCGATCCTGAACAGGGGTGGTAACTCTTGGTCGGCCGGCTCTCGGACGGTCTGCAGTGGAATTGAACTATGTGTATCGGTCCCAAAGGCGGCAAATAGTGCTGTGATTGCCGTTGAAGTGGCTGCAACAGAAGACTGAGATTCCCCTCGTTGGATACGTCCTATGGCGATGTTCCGATCGGCAGCGCTGAGTCTCGGCATTTTCGAACATGAAATATGTCGACAATTGAATGACGAATTATTGACTTATGCTTGCCTTTTTATAGCCACAGTCACGAGTTACGGATGCCATAACTTGCACGTGCATTTTACTTTACTGATTTCCCCTATAACATTTTCTAACAAGTGTGAAAACAATGCTGTTTAAGACATTGCAACTCGACAATGGCTGAGTTTTGACGCACCGTTTGTCGAAAATCAGGCCACCAACATTTTCCAATGACATATATCCAATTAACATGCCGGATTTTTTGTGTAGTCAGGTTCAATGAACGACATACTACCTGTGCGTTTCTCTTTTGTTTTTTCCATATATAGATGACAATAAAACCGATCGCCCAAATGCATCAAGGCAACGTCAATGATAACCCGATGCACGTGAGTTCCGTGCAAATTGAAATGCACATGCGTTCCCCCATTTCTTGCCCTATAATAATCCATCCAGATCGGATAACATTCATTCGTTATTGAATTGCTACCACATGCCAAGATTGACACGAAATCAGCGACACCAAGCCCTTGGACGATTGCAAGCTGGACAAACCGCCCTGCAAGTAGCCAATGCATCCACGTAAGGATCATATACAGGCTCCAGCAACGGTACCAGACCACCAACACTACAGATGACCGACCACGTAGATCCAGCGTCAGGATCGTCAGATTCTTCGTCAGCATCTTCAAGATCGCTTTGTTACTGCTGCGGAAACTGCTCGACAGACCATTGGGGCACACCAGCGACACATTAGTGTGGTCACCGTGTGTCGGCGATTGACGAGCAGACACCTCCACTGCCACAGGCCACACCGAGGACCCATTCTGACACCACGTCATCGCCGGGGCCGTCATCAGTGGGCAACACAGCACCAGCATTGGCGCCACCAGCAGTGAAGAAGAGTCCTCTTCTCGGACGAGAACCATTACTGTATCAGGCGTTCCTCAGAGTGTGGGCTCAAGTGCCTATGGCCTTCATCAACCGCTTCATCTGTTCCATGTATCGACGATGCACGGCAGTCATCAATGCACATGGCGGACACACGAGGTACTGACTTGTGTTGTGTTTCACTTTAAGAACATTTGACACTTTAATTTCAACCTTGATGATCAGTTTCATCTTTTTAATATGTCTCAAAGTATGTTTACAGTGTTTGGACAAATAAGGTTTCTCATATATCTATCCATGATGACGTTTCTTTTGCGGTCCGGTATAAAAACCATCTTATGAAACTTACAATCCAAATTAACAGGTTCTTCTAACTGTTCATATGTCATCAATCGTTATGACCAAAGGAAAACTGAAACCCATTCATTCATTCATTCATTCATTCATTCATTCATTCATCGATCGATCGTTCGTTCGTTCGTTCGTTCGTTCGTTCGTTCGTTCGTTCGTTCGTTCGTTCGTTCGTTCGTTCATTCATTCATTCATTCATTCATTCATCGGTGTTGCCAGCCTTGCATAGTGACCACTTGGGATTTACTTATTCACTTTGTTAGGTGTGTGAGACAATAGTGACTGAGTGGTGTTGGGTTAGGTTGCCGAATTCGGATGATGTGAGATTGGGTTATTTTCAGATCTATATCAGGTGTGTTATTAAAGAAAAAAGGCATTCTTTTCATTTAGTTTGAGATTAGTTTCCTGCAATACAAACTTATGATGAAAGGTGAGGTGGAATGGGGTTAACCTCGCGTTCAAAATTATTGCACTTATATCAAAATGGAGTAGGGGGTCATACGACAAAGTCACAAAGTCAATAACGGGTATGACCACCCTGTGCGTGAATCACAGCAGTGCATCGGCGACGCATGGAGTCCACCAAATGGGCATGGAAGGCGCAGTCCAGGAATTGTCTGGGACGTCGTTACTGCCGTTTGGAACCTGTGTCGGAGATGTGTAACTCGAATCCATCTGTCCTGTCTTGGCGTCGTTACTCGGGGACGTCCTGAACGTGGGTGGTCGGCAACGTCATTTGTGTTCTGATAACGCCTCACCAATGCCGATATCGTGTTACGATGGCATTGGAAATGTGTTGCCACCTGTTGTTGCCTCATTCCCGCTCGGATCATTCCAATGGCTTCATGACGCTGTGCAGCTGTCAATCTTGGCATGATTTGCTTGTGATATGCTTGTGTCTGCGCCTGAGAAGTTTTGAATTTTTGAATGACCACAGATCATGCTTTCCAAAGTGACAGCGAATTTTGAGTTGCACATGCTGTGTACAGCTGCACAGGATGCACGTGCAGTAACACATTGCACGTCCATAGGCCCCCATCAATGACGTCATATCGCATGGCACGTGCATGAGCGTTTGAATGTCTCCAATAATTGCTGTGTTCAAACCTATATTTCATATATGGACGGTGTGCCCTTATATCTATATTTTCTCCGTGCACAGTTTCTTAATGTGGCTAGTATATATTGTGTACAGATGTAAAGTAACTGAAATCGACTGTCTTTTTAGAATATTTAAAAGAGAACTAGAAATACAATACAGTACAAAGCCCACTGGGATACCATGCCGCATTTTAACACGAATACCCCACTCAGTAACAGTATACTGACTCCGAGACGACAGTCCCTTGTATTAGCCCCTTAATGCCGAGCGCCAGACAGGGTAACAACAAGTACCATCTTTTAACGTATTTCGACGACTGGCATCAAGGCCCTTCAACTTGGTACCTTTTTTTGACCAAGTGGAGGACGTATGGGCCGACTCCATCATAGAGGGTCCTAAGTGTCCAAAGGGAGAACAAGTGGTCAAGTACATGGACCATATCACAACTACTTGGAATGAAGGTCCCTGGGGTCCCGGGAGATTTCAACCATGGAAAATACCAATTGTAAATAGGCATGTGGGAATAAACTCTATTAATCGTATGCTATCAACTCCCAGGTGGCAGCCGTGTGAAAAAAAGCTGTTTCTCGTGAATTCCAATTCAATATTTGACCATTGACATGTCAACTTGAAGTGGTTACAAAGTGAGAAAAAACAAATGGCTGTCGCAAATACTTGTAACAAATTGTAACAATAGATCTGTATCTTCATAAAATATTTCAACTGGTACATATGATATGATCGTACATTTTGACATTTTAATTGCTTTCAAATTGGAAATAAAATTACTCAAGATTTTATGCATTTTTCATAATAATTGTAATGCTTCGCCCTGAAAACATAGGTATATTCACCAAAATTATTTTCCTATCTCTAGTTTTAGCCAAGATATTAGTCCTGCACGATGACTGTGGAATATATTTTTTTTATGGAATAAAATTTAAAAACGTATACAAAAGCATGTCTAGCTAGCTCTGGCCAGCTATATTCCACATTTGAGATCTTAACAGCCATATACCTACTGTATATAGAATTTCCTAATGCAGTCATAGTCGACATAGTGGCAACATGGCTACCACAGCCGCAATGTTTTAAAGTTTGTGAGCTGCTTCAGGGGACATGAAACAAGTTCAGCTTCATAAGCCACTAGTTTCTGAGATGATGTCTAAAATGTTAATGTTGTCTACTTACCGCCAGTCGGGGGGTCTTACAACTCCCCAGTGATACACTGTATACGCTTATTCAAGAGGCCAGGAGCGAGTTCAAGAAAAACGGGGGATATTAACAATTGTTTTGTAAATAATTTTGCATGATAAATTGAAATGATAATTGTCACCTATCATAAGTAGGTGTCATATCAAACAATGATATTTAAATTCAGCTCCATGACAACTGTCTTTGGTGCATAATATATTATTTCACTGGGGTGAAAGGTTACAGCAAGGTCGCGGTACGATGGGTATGACGATACAGGTCGCACTACGATACACATATGTACGTCAAATCGCGGGTTAAGTTCTTGAGTATAAATACTTCAGAGCAAGTTCAAGAGGAAAAGGGGGCACGGCCGGCCCAGTCGTCTAAGGCACCGCGATTCGCTGTGCAGAGTTGCGTCCCTTTGGCACGCCAGAAACCTATGATTGTGGGTTCGAATCCCGGTTCGCCCCCATTATGTTTCTAGGTTTGTCAGCACCATACCCGTGCTCGTGGGTTTCACCGAAGTGGTAAACGCGTGAGACCTGCATCACTTCGGGCTTTCCTCCCACATTAAGCTGACACGCCGCGATATAACTGGAATACTGTTAAAAGCGGCGTTAAACCCAACTCACTCACTCACACACTCAAGAGGAAAAGCTAGCTGTAGACACATTCGTAGCGGCTATTTTAGTAGTGAACTTGAAACGCTAATTACATCACATTTTGAGATAGTTGACTGACAAAATTGCTGGACTGTCATTAAACGAGTATTAAGTAATTTATTTCAGCAAGTGTATCGTCTTGTATCGATACAGAAAAAACGTATCGTGTATTGTATCGTCGCATGAAAACTCAAAATCCACCGGTGCATCGTTTCACCCCTATCCTATATTCACACTATCATATTTCATATCCATGCAATATATTATTAATATTATAAACATGATAGTTTGTATCAAATAAACTGTACTCACCGTAATGTCACTGCTCTTCTTCCCAATACATGATGCTCCAGATAAATCTGATCCTGTTGGAAATAATGATTTCCTCCTGGCCGGTTTCTGTTCGCAATCCTCGTTCAGCAAGCGTTTCTTACTCTCTGATCCATGGGTATCATACAAACGGGACACAGTTTGACGGTATGAGGTTCTAAGTTTGTCAATGATATCCCTGGCTCTCCACAAGTGTAACTGACATTTTTTACAAACAATATTAGTTGAACACTCAATTGAAATATTTGCTTCAAGATACTTCTCAAATAGTAAACAAATGTCCGTTTTTGTGTCGCCTCTGAATAATCTCCTCCTGTAATTCACATCTGTGACATCATTCCAACAGACAAGGCAAACACTAGCTTTAGTCTTGGGTGAAATATTCACAGTTTTAGAAAGTTTGGTTGGAGTTCCTGAATCTTGTGGGGATAAAGCCATCAGGACATGTTACTGAGTAATAGAATAAGCCAGATAAATATAACAGCACAGCTCCAAAACCAATAGCAGTAAATTCACACAAAGGAACCATGTGGCCGTTCTTTGTGTGTCAGTGACATCTGATACCACCATGCCCTGCCCTCTACCCCCACCCCCACCACCCCCCTCCCCCACCCAGGACTGCTGTCCAGGGGAGTAATAAATACAGGAATGGAATCCATGTGGCGGGTAGATCCAGATCGGTTGATAAGGGGATCAGAGAATGTGCTTTAGAAAATTTATTTGGACACTTACATATGTCCAATTGACATTTCAAGATTGTTCTGATAGTCAGGCTCTCAAAATGTGTAGTTTCTGAAATCAGCATAGGGAAAGAAATATTTTATTTTTGGAGTCAAGAAGGGCACTGTGTAATATAACATTTCATAGACTAAAGATTTTTATTCCAAGGAGATGTTCAAAATTTGCAAGATTCTGCCCTATATTATGGTGGCCGAGAGGGGACATCGCTTTCTCGCTCTATCGCTTTCTCGCGGTATAGCAATATTCCCTCTTGGCCACGATATGGGTCGCATGCGTTACGTGTTTCTTTACGATAAAAAGTATATACGTAAAACAACATTAATGAAGGGGGGGGGGGGGGGGGCTGATGTGGGTTTTAATCGTAAAAGAGAGCTGAGATTTTTCCAGTCGCATTTCAAATTATACATATGGACGGAATGTTGAACTTTTCTCACTATCTACTTAAATATAATTTAACAGTACAGACATATGTGCTTTTATAACAATCCATGTATTTCTGCGTAAAAAAGAATTTGATTGATTTATGGCCCTGTTTAGCTATTGGATCCCCCGCCCCCAGGCCAAGTTATCAAAACAAATAGCAAATCACACCGCTCAATAGCGCTGAGTAGTACGTACTTCCTAAAAAGCAATAGTGTTTACCTAAAAACAACGCTTATATCAATGTTTATTCTGTTTGCGGAGTAGATGTGATCAAAGTGGAAGTCCTCACCCAAGCAATGGTAATACTACCGGATGTCCATTATGTAATTTCTAGTTTTTGGATGACATATTGTTCTCAGTAACCGTCATGTGGAAATAGATAGTTGATTGGTTTTATAATCAAGTTGGCCTTTCCGCTATTCAACGTGTTCAGTGAGGCCGTCTTATCAACAGTAATTTCTGAGACATAAATGCAAAGAATAATTACCGTTTTCGACGTAATAAGCGCCCCGCTCTAATAAACGCCCACGGCGATATTTGCATATATATTGGCTAGTGAACAATCCCAATTAGCACCCCTTCCGACTGATTAATGTACACAAGACTTATTTATTCGCGTATAATACGCACTCGTTATATGCACACTTAATTATGGGCAATTAAATTCGGGAAAAATATATCTGTCGTACATAAACATTTCAGACTGTCAGCATAAACCACGAAATTAATCTTTCAACTCAACGGTTTTTTCACCAAAATAATATTCTAATTTTGAGAGCGCCCTGGGCGCTTATTACGTCGAATACGGTAATTAAGTCTACGCTTATTTTTTGGCATTTATAATTAACTTGAACGTTAATTTCAAGATTTATAGTACATACTATTCAAAAGAAGTTAAAGAACACCCGATTCCTTCATATGACTATGGTTAGTCATTAGGGGAAGCGATAGAGCGATACAGCGATAGAGCGAGAAAGCGATAAAGCGATACAGCGATAGAGCGAGAAAGCGATAAAGCGATAGAGCGAGAAATTGATAGAGCGAGAAAGCGAGAAAGCGATAGAGCGAGAAAGCGATATTTCCCATAATGCCGTACATTAAAACGGTTTTTGCTGATATTTAGTGATCCTGTAATTCCCACCGCTATTTTGCCTCTTATGATTAGATTTTTTAAACATCTTGTAGTAGATTAATATGTAACAAAATACACACGTAATTTTTTCTCGTTTAGCTTGCATATTTTCTTGTAGTGTAATAAATAAGTAAGATTCACAGAATACAGATAGTCACTGTTCATATTTTCATTTTGTTCATAGTACCCCCCCCCCCCCCCCATTCCTCCATCAAACTTAAAACTTATAAAAAGGAGATCATATATTTCAGTTTTATTAGCCAGTTTGTATTGTTTGCAACGTCCAAAGAATTTTTTTTTTCGGTAATAAGATTTGGAATTGAAGCCGAATATGTGCTCGTCCGATTTCGGGATCACAATTATGTTCATTAAGTTGCATGTACATTATGCATACATGTACACAGTTATGTTTCCCTTACAAAATACAGATGAATTAGATATATGTCTCTACCTTAAGTCACATATAGGACTTTCGAGAGCGTCATTAACCCGTAACCCCATTCCTTGGATAATAGAAATGAAATTCGTTGTAAATATTTTTTTTAAACAACTCGTTTCTTTATGACTTTCGATCAAACTGTCTTTGGGAATTAAATTTAATGCTAAAGTGCTTGTAAAATAAAGTTTAACTTTCCCGCCAGGAGAGACTAGATATCCAATTATAGTATAGGCTCAGGCAGGAATATACATATTTATGTAATAATTCTCTATCCATTTGAACTTTATGGTTAACAATTGTGCGTTCTGATGCGAGTTATGTTGTTATCTACTACCTTTTTACACAGACAATGAGTCGGACACACACACACACACACACACACACACACACACACACACACACACACACACACACATATATATACATAATTTTGACAAAACTATACTTAAGATATACATAACATATCACAATGATAGCTGATTTAATATATGTTATAGATAATCATAGTAATGCATTTCATATTGTTATCAACCTTAACTATGTGACCACACTAATTATGTCTCTCCATATGTGTAGTTCACACAAGTACACATATCAACTGTGGTAACGCCACAGCGATGGGGGCAGTGGGGTAGCCTAGTGGTTAAAGCGTTCGTTCGATTCCCCACATGGGTACAATGTGTGAAGACCATTTCTGGTGTTACCCGTGATATTACTGGATTATTGTTATTTTAAAAGCGACGTGAAACCATTCTCACTCACTCACTCACTCACTCACAGCGGTGTTTACTAAATTACTATATGCAAGTACATATTTGTAGATTTGCACAAGACAAGAAACACAATTCAAGTTAAACATACATTAAATGTCAAAAAGAACATTAACGGACAACCTTATGACACACTGTAACATCATACACTACCGAAAACAAGTTATAGAACACCCACAATTATAAGATTGTATTTTTGCAAAACAATCAGCCATGACTAATTAACCATAGTCTTCTTAACTTCTTTTGAAAAGTATATATTTAGATTTTAACCTGATTAATTTAAAGCGTATTGCCATGATCTGCCACGCGCTTTCGGCGTGATGGTCACATACAACTGAATAGGGCCGTAAATCAATCAATAACATTTTACGCAAAAATCGGTGGATTGTTTTAAAATCACCTACGTCTGTACAGTTAAATTATGTTTAAAGTAAATAGTGAGAAAGGTTCAACATTACCTCCCAATTGCAGCAGATATCACATGCGGCCCCCGTAGGGGTCAAGAGGGGATATTGCTTAACCGCGAGAAAGCGATAAAGCGATAGAGCGATAAAGCGAGAGAGCGATAGAGCGAGAAAGCGATAAAGCGAGAAAGCGATAGAGCGATAAAGCGAGAAAGCGATGTCCCCTCTCGGCCACCATACAGACTATATTATTATCGCAGCCATATAGCCGGAATATTGCTGAGTGCGGCGTTAAACAACAAACAAACAAACGATGTGTGAGAAATTGATTTGTGCATCAAATCTGCAATACCGAACGAATTCATCTGTTGCTGTGTGTATTTCTTGAGGGGGTAGAACCGATGACCTTCAGCTCTCCAGGCAGACGCTGTATCCACTGCACCACTGGGATTTGAATATGACCCCAGCACTAATAACACGTCCAAATACAATATTGTGTTACATGCAGATTAAAGATGAAAACATTGCAGATTTAATTTTACAGACGAAAGCATCTCATCTGATCTTCCCGAGGCAAGAGAGTTCACTGACTATAAAAGTCCAGTTTCCACCCTTGCCGAACAAGGCTGGTATTATGGAGTTAGATTTTGGCTGGACTAATGAGTCTATGCATAGTCCAATCAAAATCGCGCACCGAAATCGAAATCCGGTTCGTCAACTGTCGTGCAGATTTCGGTCGATTGTAGGATTTGCACAGCATGTGCACTGCCAACTCGTTGTCAACAGATATTTTCGGAATCTTTTCAAGTTTTTAATCAAGGTGCTCACGTGTTTTGATGTACTTCGCGATGTAAGACCCGTTTTCTGCCAATATCGATCTTGATTATCGATCAGATCTCTTGACTGGGCGCCGCCATTTTGTTTGAAGCAAATGCAAGTGATACGAGAGGTGGAATCTGATTGGTCCATAGGAGGGACATAGAAGGGACTTAATTTGTCACAGCCACTGGTGGCGCTACGATCGAGCCAAGGAATTCCAGCCATGTTCGGCAAGGGTGGAAACTGGACTTTTAAAGTCAGTTAACAACCTTGCCTCGGGAAGATGGGTTGGTCTGTGAATCACGTTTGTTGGCACAGAAGCGGGCAAAGCGGTGCTTGACAGCAAGAGCATCCGTCAACGATATCACCCGATTGCCGAAGTAAAAATAGATAAATCTTGGCTACAGACTAATGCCTACCATTATCCATCTCAGAGGTACCGCATACAAACTGCCGTCAAATCAATTAGATATTCCTTTTAATGCACTCTAATCACCGATATATAACAGTGTAGATCGATCTCCCAAGTTGTGTGTCAAGTGTTGTCTATTCGGACAGATGTTGACATTGTTAGTTGCTAGCTCTCACTTCCGGGCCATTAACTGTGTGCATACACGGTTGTTGATTAATGTGAAGTGTCTGGTGATTGGTTCCGGGAACTTACCTATAGTGCACGAG